CCCAACACAGATGCATTCACACACACACAAAATCTCTGAAACTTCAGTTAGAATTGCTGGGAAACAGTTAACAGTGATGGTGACATAGTAAATGGCTCCCCAGATGTAATCTCTTCATTTATTTTCTTTAAAGAACATCTATTTTTTGGGGTAGGTGGGAAGTGCAAGTTTAAAAAACCCACAACAGGCAGATAAGGTGCATACTAATTTATGTATTTCTTATGCTCTGAAGGCTACCATTAGGCCAAGTGGGTTCTCTCTTCCCTTGTTTTAGTGAAATTTTGGAAGTCTGAATATAAACGAGGGAAAAATTAGTCAATGTGACTTTCAAGAGGGCTCCCAGAGTTCAGTAGAAAATATAAATATACAATAAAGGAAGAGTTCTCAGCTTCACTTTCTTTTTCTAGACAGTTATTAATAAAACTTACTTCTTTACAAATTAATAGTCATTTCCAATGTAGTCTACTGTAGTGATTTCATAAAAGTGCAGACAACATAACCAGACACACAGCAAAATAGACTTCAATCAGTAGTCCTTGCATACAAGAGGCAAGTCTGCTAAGTGTACAGCACACTCTCCATTCTTTTAGGAATCTGAGGATGGGAATTTTCCAGTTTTAACAACTGAGTGAGTGCCTTTTTAAAGGCAATGCCAGAACCTGCTTGGGGCACTATCTATCATGTTAGATGAGGGAAAACAAAATAAAGAAACTGTTTGTCTTTAATAATGGTCTGTATTTTGATAAGCAGCTCAAAGATGACAGCCCAAGTTTTGGCTTTGTTCCTTAGAGAAGGCAGTTTTCTATCTAAGAAACAAAAACCTCTTCTTTCATCATTATAGAAGACTCATATACCTTAAATGTATTATTTTCTGACTTGAATACACACTAGACACTTCACATTGTGAGCATGGGACAAAGCAAAAGACCATAAACCTCCTAGGAAAGGGTTGCTATGTTGAGCCAAATCTCTGCTTGAATAGTGGCTCAGAGGGGTGGGAGGTACACAAAGAACTTACTATTAGCAAGTAAGAAGAGGCAGCTAAAGGGAGAAAGTCCCATGCCAATGCCATATCCTTCTCTCCCAGTGGCCATTTCCTATTGATTTTATAGTTTAGGAGAACCTTAGATGCTTCAGCAGTAATTCTTTTCTTGGCTGTTTTGGTCCTTAGCAAAATTTGTAATTATTGGTATTAATGGAGTAAAAAGAGTAAGAGAATCAATGACATCACTACTTAATACAGACTGCACATGAAGATTGTGTGATTTATTGGTTCTTCTATCATCTTTGCAGAGGAATCACCAACAGTGTTTTTAATTTCCATGGTTCACTTCTCTCTGCATCACTTACTGCCTCGAGACACAAACTCATAGAAACACTAAATGGCTCCTTCCCCAGCACTATTTTACTGTCTTTGCAATGTATGGTTCCACATTTTACTTAACTTTCTTTCCACTCACACAAATGTTAAGAGGGGATTAAAAGAGAAAAGACTGCAGCTAATGACCACCTTCTCATAAATATCACCCCAGAGTACTCATTCTTAAACACATGCATTCTTGCCTTAACTGAGGATTTGAAATAACAAAACAAAATAACAGAACCTTAAGTGCCCTGATGGAAATGTACAGTATGAGTTACATCCATCTACCTACACACACACATAGACACTCATATGTATATACAATATATACATACAAATGATAATAGCTATACCAAAAATGTGCATATTTCACACAGTTTTAAAAAGCCAGTAGATCATGGTATAATACAATTTATTTCCACTAGTGAATGGCACAAATGGAGAAATGCAAAGGAGGTGTTTCAAGTACAATAAAGTCATTCTTCACAGGTGAAAATAAACAGTATTATTCCAGTGTCCAACACAATGTATTTTACAAAAGTTTAAAATGCCAGACATTCAGCACTTAAAGAAGTATAAAGTTACTAATGTCTGTCTTATGGTCTGAAAAAGACACTCATAGAGTTTTTGATTTTTGAAAAGGGGAAGAGGAAAATTAGGTGGGAGTGGGAGGGAGGATCAAGGACAGTTTCTTTAGTGTACTAAATAGTGTTTACCTGATGTCTGGGCAGTTGAAAATCATGACTATACTAAATAGTTTAATTTCCCTATAAATCCTTGGCCTCTAGTACCAAGCATATTATATCTAAGGCATGGCATCAAATGTAGAACTATTCATCCCTAGGGACAGAATTGACTACAAAAAAGGGTAGCTCTGAATAAAAATAATATAAACATTTTCCAGCTAACATTACTATATAATGAAGAAACTGTAATTTGGAGTTAGATCTGACTTTAATAAGAGGAGAAAAATATGTGCAAAAGGAAGGGAATCCAATTAGAAATAATATTTATCCAGATATGAGGTTTTGCTTTTGAAAACGCTAACTAAAGAAAGGGAGATACAGTGAACATAAGAAAATTTTTACTGCCAAGTTCTGGATACCAGATATAGCATTAATAACTTTCTAATATGCCGGACAAATTTCTCATACTTTTTATTTTCTTAAACACATATGTACTGAGTGAACACCAACTCTTGGAGGAGGTAGTAATTTGATCAAATATTGACATTTGCACACTGATTTAGAAAGTGCCTGCTTCTTTCTTTAGAATCTCTAAACTTTTCAAAGTTTCTTGCTATAAGCTTTATTCTTTACTGATTCCTACCACGTATGAGATTCCTCAGAAGTTAGTTCTTATAAACACACACCAATTAATTAATCATTTTTGCAAACTATGTATTTTTAAAATAAAATTAATTTAATGGAATAATCCAGGTATACTCATGACCTACATGTTAAAACTGGTTGCCCCACAGATAAATCAGATACAAAGCCCAACTGGGTAGACCTTTGGAGTCAGCATTCAATCACAATTTTACAAGTACATATGCTCTGCACAAACTCAGTAATTCAATTTGACTAATTCTAAGTCACTGGAAGTAGTTTGGATTTTAAAGAGTTTTGTGTGCAGAATGGATCTGCTTTTCTATTCTATCCCTCTAGTAGTACAGAGGGGTTAATAAGAATTTTTTTTTTAACTATCAAATTTCATTATATTTTTTTGGGCATTTTATTAATTCTAAAGCTCTCTTCTATAATTTTCTTCCAAATAAGTAGATATTTCAATTTGTTTGAAATATTATATAATATTTGAATGCAAAAAATATATGGAGAAAATTAAAAGCCCCTTTCACTAGATATGACAAGTACATGTCCTGTTCATCTAAAAGTTGGTGATCTCGAGCATGGCCAAGAGGATAATGTATCAGAGTGCTACCTGAAACACTGCCTAAAATTGTGTGAATTCTATTGTGATACTGGCTTTTAAAATATTTACATTAAAATATTAATTTTTCTTCCAGTTACCTTTAAATGAATCCCAGAAACTCCTAAAGGGGATGATCCATGGAGATTGGACTGACATACCTGGGGAAGACTTAAATTTAATTGAGAAAACCAAGATTTCAAAAGTGATAAGATTACATTTGGTCATCAGTCTGGCCTAGGTAAAAAGTATCATTGAGAGGGACTGGAAACTTTGACTATATGAAAAGAAGGACCCATAGTTAGCAGCAAGGGTTCTTCAAGACAACTGGGGAGGGGGCAGGACAATAACTTGTAGAAATTCTGGTATGTCACTGGAAAGAATTTTTTTTTTCTTCAAGTAATACAGCTCCCTATCCACCTTCAACTAAATTTCCACACTAGCAATGGAATACCAAGTAACATCTGACGTTCAGCACTGGGTTGATCCTTCATTGAAAAACAAAACAAAACAAAACAAAACATAACAAAACAAACAAAACATGCCCCTCTCTGGAAAAAAAGGTTAGCTTTTGTCAAGAGATTCCCTGACCACTATAACTTACTTTACTTTTTTATTCTTAATTTGCCAAACTTGTTAGTTCCTTTTCAGTAGTAATTTAGCAGACGCTAGAGACTTCAGGAAGTGGTGTTTCCTATAGTATGATGTTATTAACATGATGTCAAATGGTCACCAAGTCTCAAGGAACTAGAAGTTTGTAAAGTATTGCAGCAACAAAAACAGTAATTAAAAAAGAAAAAAAAAGAGGACCTGCACATGCAGCAAAATCTACAGTGGTAGTGAGGGTTAGTCAGCAGCTGGTAAAGTCATTGGCTCAGTGACTCCTGGTTCACTATGGCAACTAAACTTTAAATAATTGGCTATTCTACTTGTAAACAGGAAATCCCATAAGCCAAAAGGGGATAGTCAAATTAATGTCTATGTAGTGTGATGAGAATTCCAAAAGGTGGCAGTTTACAAATATGGCATTATTCAAATACCTCAGGCATTTGATGTGTATTGGCTATACGTCTTTGTTTTTGTACAAACAAAGTAAAAAGTACTGTTTAGGGTTTTGGGAGTTACAGAGCTTAGCTAGGATGAAATATCACAGTATAAGCAACAAAACATCAGGATATATAGGCTTCATCTCCTCACTCTGCTGCTGAACACACCTATCATATGAACTTTCAGGGACCTCTCTCACCCTTTTGGTCTTTCCCTTTGAAGGCTCACAGGTTTATTGGATGAAATTCCCACACAACTTGTGATCTCCTTAAGCACCTCCATCTCACCATGCCACAAAGAAGGCACAAATGAATGGGGGTGGTGGGGGCAGGGGGGTGGGGGTGGGGGGAGGAATCACTGGCAAGTCTACACAGCATTCAGAAAAAGAACTCAGTTGTTTTCTACTCTCTGAAAAAGTCAATGCAACCCTTCAGTGTTCATGGCTTTCCACTTTTTTACTCCAAATGAGGCTGAGAAGTCAGACCAACGTAATAAAGAAGATGTACTGGTGAGGGGATACAAGTGTGTTTCTATAATAACTTGTTTTAGCATATGCTGCCTGCTGTGAGTGGTTCATAAGAATCTGGGGTATGGAGAAAGGCTTTAGATCTTTTCACAAACTTCTTAGGATGTAGTTGCCCAAAAGTGATGACTCAAGCCATTCTGTTGTATTATATATTTGCAGTGTTCAGAAAATACCCCCTATCTAGCCAATTTCTTTTTACCACACACATGATGTGTGTGTGTGTATGTGTGCATGCGTGCACACACACACATACATATCAATTCCCTTTTAAATTTCTCCAAAAGTTAAAAACAAAAACCAAAACCTGGCAGCCAAATACTATGACATCCAAATTAGTAAACACAAAACAGAACGCTTTAAAAAAATGAATAAAATATACCATATGCATTCAGCTTCCACACTGTAGTACCCAAGTGAGGAGGCTGCTGTGACGATGTCTGTAGGGAGTTTCTTTTGGCAGACAGCTCCAGCAGAATTGCCACTTTCAACTATTAAGCTATGTGTAAGACAGATGTGACCCATTGGAGATCTGTGAGGTGACACTCGTGCTTCTGCTCATGCCCTGCTCCGTCCGTCCCCCAGAAGCTGTTCGCCTCAGAGCCTGAGGGCTGTTGCGGACCCCCATACTGCTACCTCGGGGCACCCCTTGCATTGGCCCTGAGGGGTGACCCCATGGCTGGGGTCCACCTTGCATCGGATGGCCCCAAGCTTGTGGTGGGCCACCCATGGGATGACCCCAGTGAGGTCCTGGACCCCCAGTAGGGTTGTGAGACCAACCAGAAGCTCCTGGGTAGCTGTGGCTGAATGCCTCAGGGGAGAGATTAGAAAGGACCATGTTACTAAAACCCAGTCTCATACTTTCAGAGTCAAAAGCTTCGATTTCTCTGGCTTGACGCTCCAGCAGACTTCGTATTCGTTCTGTGCGTTCATTCTGCAAAGCCAACATCTCTTCTTCAATCTGTTAGGGGTTGGAGGAAAGAAGCAAAAAGAAAGTTGATTTAAAAATGTAAAAACTAAGGAAGCAATAATTATTCAGTTTTGAAGTGAATCATAAAGAAATTCACTCTTGCTATTTTATGGATGTACATTTAAAAATCAGCCTAGCCGGTGTGGCTCAGAGGTTGAGTGTCAACCTTGAACCAGGAGATCACAGTTTGATTCCCAGTCAGGGCATATGCCCTGGTTGCGAGCTCGATCCCTAGTAGTGGGCGTACAGGAGACAGCCGATCAATGATCCTCTTTTACCACTGTTGTTTCTATCTCTCCCTCTCCCTTCTTCTCTCTGGAATTAATAAAATAATATAAAAATATTTTTAAAAGGAAAACAAAAAAAAAGCATCTGTGGCCCATTTACACAATGGAATGCTACTCAGCTATAACATAAAGAGAAATCTTTAAAAAATATTAAAAAAACAAAAGAGGTGTACTGTAGCAATCATACATAATTTATATTTCTAAAATATGTAAAATCAAGCTCTGGCTGATTTTTCTCAGTGGTTAGAGTGTTAGCCCGCAGACCAAAAGCTCTCAGATTTGATTCCTGGTCAAGGGCATATAACTCGGTTGCAGGTTCCCCAGTCTGGGTAGGGGTGCATGTGGGAAGCAGCCAATCGATGTGTCTCTCTCATGTCAATGTTTCTCTTCCTCTCTCTCTCTCCTTCTCCCTCCCTTCCACTCTCTCTGGAAATCAATAGAAAAAATATCCTCAGGTGAGGATTAAAAATAAATAAATAATTTAAAAATAAAATGTGTAAAATCAAGTTCTTAAAAGCAAAGGCAATAACCTCTATTAAAATAATAATTCAAGGCAATTATCATCAATGGCTATTAAACCCATTAGGTAAAACATTAAATGAGCCTGGCCGGCGTGGCTCAGGGGTTGAGCATCGACCTATGAACCGGGAAGGCAGGGTTTGATTCCTGGTCAGGATACATGCCTGGGTAGCGAGCTCAATCCCCAATGCGAGCGTGCAGGAGGCAGCAGAACAATGATTCTCTCTCATCATTGATGTTTCTATCTCTCTCTCCTTCTCCCTTTCTTTCTGAAGTAAAAAAAAATATATTTTAAAAAAAGTTGAATGAAAAAGAAAATGGGTGAGGAAAAAACCAATCTTATCAGACATAACATATGTCATTTAATAAGAGAAACATGATACTGCTATAGAAATTGAAAATTAGGGAAACAGAATGCAGATCTCAGTAGATTTTTAAATAAATAATACAGGCACAATTGGCCAGCCATCTGGAAGGAAATAAAAGTGGAACCCCATTGTATACCGTGTTCCAAATGGACCAAAGTAAAAAACAAAAACTATAAAATTTTCATTAAAAAGTTAGAAGATTCTATGTAACTAGAGTGGGTGGGTAGTCATCATAATCAGTTCCAGAAAATTGGGAAGTATTCCAAATAAAAATACTTGACTGCATATAATTTTTTTAAAATGTAAAAAACCATAATAAAGTCAATAGACAATGAAAAAAATGTTGAACCATTTAATGAATGATCAGATTGATAATACCTGGAATACACTAATCAATATAATGTAACTTAAAAAGTGGAACTAGACATATTTCTTGATATGATGCAAAAGGAAGTACCCTTACAAAAAAAAATCCCTTGCAAAATTTTTTTAAAGAAAAATATTGAATCTAAATTTAATCATGCCTTTAAATCTAATTATCAGTTTACAAGAAATATGAAGTAGAGAGGAATACATTAAATGACAACATGAGGATGCAATCAGCCAAATCCAGAATATGAGAATTCCCACTGAGTAAAGAATCCAATCCACAGTTTAAAAAAGGGGGTGGAGTGGGGCCTGTTATAGGCAAGACAATTGACTAAATGCAGTATCTGGACCTTGTGTGGGCCCCAATCCAAATGAATCAACTTAAAAATTAATTGACATAAAAGGGGAAATTTAGACATGGACTGAGTAGTTGATATTATTAAACATTTATTTCTGTTAGCTATCACGATGGAATTATTGTGAAAAAGTCCTTACCTACTTTTTTAAAAAAAAAAACTACATCTTTTTTAAAATAAATTTTTGTTGATTTCAGAGAGGAAGTGAGAGGGAGAGAGAGATAGGAACATCAATGATGAGAGAGAATCATTGATCAGCTGCCTCCTGTACACCCCACACTGGGGATCGAGCCTGCAACCTGGGCATGTGCCCCTGACTGGAATTGAACCTGGGACCCTTTAGTCTGCAGGCCAACGCTGTATGCACTGAGCCAAACCAGCTAGGGCCTTACTTATTTTTAAGAGTGAAATAATACCATGTTGGAATTTGCCTTTTTAAAAAATATGTTTTTATTGATTTTAGAGAGAAAGGGGAAAGGGATAGAGAGATAAAAACATTGGTGAGAGAGAAACATCATCAATTGGCTGCCTTCTGCACACCTCCCACTGCGGATTGAGCCCACAACCCGGGCATGTGCCCTGATCAGGAATTGAACCAGTGACCTCTTGGTTCATGGGTCAATGCTTAACCACCAAGCCACACTGGCCGGGTGTGATTTACTCTTAAATACTCCAGACACTATTCCCTAACTCCTGACCTCCCCCGACCCTCGCAAAAAAAGTTGTGTGTGTAGAACAAGGGAATAGATAAGAAAAAATTAGGAGAAGAAAATGGCAGCCAACTAGGCAGACATGTAGTGCACCTCATCCCAAGGTCAGACTGAAAAAGCAACTAAATTGAAAAACATTTACCCAGAATTAACAAATTAGACACAGCTGAGGAGACAATTTACAAAAAAAGGAAGGGCAGAGGATGCACAGAGAATGGTAGGAATGGGGATCTGGGCTGGATAGGGATACCTGGCCACCAGGCCAAGAGGGTGAGGTGGAACCTGCATTGCACCAAAGCCATGTCCCTTGGCGACAGGCATAAAACCCAACTGTGAAAAGAAAAAAAATTAGCACTGATAACTCCTAAAGCTGGGTGATGAGTACTTGGGAATTTCATTGTACTAATTCTTTCTACTTTTGTGTATGTTTAAAATTTTCCATGATAAAAAGTTAAAAAAAATAAAGAGAATTTGTAAAGGAGCATTAAATAATCAGGTTTCAAGATATTTGAGAACTTACGCCAATACTCTGCTCTCTACAGAAATCTAGCTTGACAAATGTGCTAGTTTTTATGCACTAAGTTTTTAAAAATGTCCTAAAAGAACCCCCAAAAAGACAGTTTAGCAAGGGCAATACATGCAAACTAAAAAACGCAGACCAGCCAGTGCGGTTCAGTTGGTTGAGCGTCCTCCCATGAACCAGGTCACAGTTCGATTCCCAGTCAGGGCACATACCTTGGTTGTGGGTTCAATCCCCAGTGGGGACCATGTACAGGAAGCAACTGATAGATGTTTCTCGCTCACATCAATGTCTGCCTATGTCTCTCTCTCCCTTTCCCTCTCTAAAAATCACTAAGCCCTGGCTGGTGTGTTTAGTTGGTAGAGCATTGGTCCGTGCACTGAAGGGTCACAAGTTCGATTCCTGGTCAAGGGCATATGCCTGGATTGCAGGTTCGATCCCCAGCACATGTCGGAGGCAACCAATTAATGTGCCTCTCTCATATCAATGTTTCTCCTTCCTTCTCTCTTCACCCTCCCTCTCTTCCTTCTACTCTCTAAAAATCAATGGAAAAAATATCCTCGGGTGAGGATTTTAAAAAGTTTTTTAAAATTCACATGGAATTTAATATTTATAATCATGCTGTTAACTTGCTGAAATTTTAATGTAAATCTCACATAATAAAAGCTTAATATGCTAAGTGTCTGATTGGTCAGCCTTTCAGCCAATCAAAGCGTAATATGCTAATGATATGCTAAGGCTGCTCAACCACTCCCTATGACGTGCACTGACCACCAGGGGGCAGACAGTTGACTATGGGGGTCAACCAGTCGCTATGACGTGCATGACCACCAGGGGCAGATGCTCCGACCAGTAGGTTAGCTTGCTGTTGGGGTCCGGCTGATCGGGATTGAGCGAGACAGGCCGGACATGCCCTGAAGCCCTCCCGTGGTCCCTCCCTGGCCCCGATAGTGCACTGGTGGGGTCCCTCGCCCTCTCGCAATCTGGGCTAAGCCCCCCCACCCCCACCCCCACCCCTGCCCAAGTGCACGAATTTCGTGCATTGGGCCTCTAGTCAAGTATAAGAAGAGTCAACTGAGGCTTAATTTGTTGGTGTTTTAACCTAAAGAAACAATTCTTGGTTCATTTGGAGATTTACAGCAATCTTTAAATAGAATTATTTTTCATTTAGAAACAATTAGCATTCACTCTAGTTCCACCTCTATTTCAAATAATGGTTTCTCATATGTGATTTACATTAAAATTTCAGCAAGATAACAGCATAAGTATTAAATTCCATGTGAACTTAAAAAAAACTTTCTTGAATCCTCACCCGAGGATGTGTTTTTAGTGATTTTTATTTAATTTTGTTCAACCAGTAAGCACAAAGTACAGAAAATATATAGCTGTTATGATTTTTCAAAGTTTTTGTAGTTGGTAGGAGCATTGTCTCTGTGCACCAAAAGGTAACAGGTTCAATTTCCAGTCAAGGCACATACCTAGATTGGCTTAGTAGTTGCCACCTTACCTCAAAGTGATTCATAGTCATACATTCCACGTGAAATGTAAACATCAGCTCTAAAAATGAAGTAGCAACTCAAAGCACTATAGATTTATCCTCCTATTGTTCTATTATTTTTAATACTAACCTTTTGTATTTTCTATTATTAAAGTAATACTAACCACTACATAAAATATAGTAAAATAAAAAAATAAACCAATCTACCATATTAATATCACCACTACTAGCATTTCTTCATTTCACTTTAAGTGTTGTCTTTTTTGTTTTATTCAATACATCATAATATGTTTATTATATTAAACACATTCATGTTAATACTATGTTTGTAGCCATCATTGAAAAGGCTGACTAAAATTTTATCAAGTAGCCCTAGCCAGTTTGGCTTAGTAGATAGAGCATCAATCTGTGGACTAAAGGGTCCCAAATTCGATTCCAGTCAAGGGCACATCCCTCGATGGTGGGCTCCATCCCAAACCCTGGTTGGTGTGCATGTGGGAGGTAACCAATCGATGTGTCTCTCTCACATCAATGTTCCTCCTTCTCTGACTCTCCCCCTTCCTTCCATTCTCTCTAAAAATCAATGGAAAAATATCCTTGGGTGAGGATTAACAACAACAAAAAATTTTTATTAAGCAGATTGGCCATAACCACTTAAATTATATCTCTTATTTATTCATTTAGAGAATTTTTATAAGCAATTAAGAGTCTGAGCCAAAACTGAAAACATATGCCAGGGAGCAAGATCTCAAATACTCCTTATTCTCTATTTTAGATGGTTAGGTGTTTGAAACCATTATAAAATATGCTATAATCACCATATTTATGCATTAATTTCCCCCTATATTTTGGATTTCTTTTCCTTGGAATTCTCAGTCTTAAGTACTTAACAGTTTCAAAGCTCAATATATACTTCCAAATTGCTTTCCAAAATGCATTAGTGATGCATGAGAATGCCACATCAATAGGTATCAGTTTTATGCTCACATTTTACTAGGAACATGTAGTCTTTGGTTCACATATTGAAATGATTAATAGCACTGTTTAACTCTTAACCACTAGGTAAATATGTATACTTTAATAGTACCAACATTTTTTACATCACTATTTTTGAACACCTTAAGGAATTTCCCTCTCAGCGATAATTTTGAAGCATACGAGATAGAATTTTGGATTGAATTTTAAATGTGAAAGTTGGAATTACATTTATGAAATATGTACATGAGACAAATTAGATTTTTCTCAAAATGTATATGTTTCTATCTTTCCATCTTGAATGAGAAACATAATTGAGAAAATTTTTAGAGGCAAGTACCTCTCAAGAAGTAGTAAAGACAGCTATGCCATCTTATTTAGGTGGTTTTTCTTAAGGCATTCTATTTTTATCACAAGAACTGTAGAAAACAGAGGAAAATCTATGAGCCAATGGTCCAGAAATAATGACAACTTTTAATAGGCAAGACCATTAGGCAAGTATTAATTTAATGGACCTAAGACTATATCAGCTATTGGAATTATGGCTCAGGAATTCTGGAACATAGTTCTGAATCATGGATACAACTGATATTCTACTACTTCTCACAACAAATATCTCTCCTTTCTTTATCACTCAAAATATTCTGTCCGTCACCCTTTCCCTAAAACACATACACACTCAGCTTACATACCTTAGTGTGATTCTACTTTTATTCTCTAATATATCTGACAAAAAACAAGTACGAAATAAATAAATAAAGGTACATCTGGAAGTAACATTTCCAGTCTGACTTGCCACCTGTGTGGAACTGCTTTTACTTTCTGTCTGTATCCAGGCCCAGGATGTATGAGTAAAGTATATATTCCTGCACCTTTGTCCCTGCCTTTCCCAGGCAATTGTTAGTTCTTTCTCCAACCTTCTTAGGTACAAAAAAGAAATGAGGGCCCCAGCTGGTTTAGCTCAGTGGATAGAGCGTTGGCCCATGGACTGAAGGGTCCCGGGTTTGATTCTGGTCAAGGACATGTGCCTCGGTTGCAGGCTCGATCCCTGGCACTGGTCGGGGTGCGTGCGGTAGGCAACCAATTGATGTGTCTCTCATATCGATATTCTCTCTGATTCCCCCTCCTTTCCACTCTCTCTAAAAAAATCAATGGTAAAATATCCTCAGGCGAGGAGTAACAAAAATAAATAAATACATGTTAAAATAAAAAAATAAAAAGTGATGAACACAGAACCAGAGCTCTCTCAAAATTTAACTTGTCTTCACATAACCCATATCTTTCTTCTAGCAATTACTACTTAATTATAGGTTCCTTGATGTTTAGTACCTCCAAATTACTTATTTTTCTTTAAATATGTTTTTATTGATTTCAGAGAGGAAGGGAGAGGGAGAGAGAGATAGAAACATCAATGATAAGAGAGAATCAGTGATCGGTTGCCTCCTGCATGCTCCCTACCAGCCATGTGCCCTTGACCGGAATTGAACCTGGGACCCTTCAGTCCATAGAGTGTCAGAATTTCTTCTCAAGTTCTTCCACTGAGCCAAACCAGATAGGGTGTCCCTTAATGTTTAGAACTCATTAATTATAAGGTGCATTATTGAGTCAAATATTTTAAATAAAAAGAAAAACCCTACCAAAACTAGAATTAAGAAAATATGGTATTGTGAAAATAGTCTGTTACCTCTGTTGATATGAAAATATATTTATAAAATGTTTCTGAGGAAAGCAAATACTAGCACAATCACCTTCCTTCTACTACTTATACCTTTTGTTCTAAGAGTGCCCTTCGTAGGGAGACCCTTTGTTCAAGCTCCCGAAGCTCTCGATCATGTTGTGCCTCAGCTTGCATCTTGATTTTGCTCTGATATGCATTCAACAGTTCCAGTTCCTGCTGCAGCTGCATCTTCAAAACCTGGCACTCTGCTTCCTGTGCTTCATCCAAACGCAGCTGAAAGAGAGAGAAAGAAAACATATATCTTACTGTGAGCCATCTATGACCTATGGGAAAGAAGGAGTCTCAGAGAAAACAGACTACTCTTTTGTAGATAAATAATTGTTCTCTCTTCTATTTTAAACATCTCTGAAAAAGAAAGGTACAGTAACTAATAATGGCATTATGAAGATAAAGCTATCATACGCCATTTGGAGGAATCCTAAATAAGCATATTTTTCTTAAGAAAAATTTAGACTCTGATTAGGTGATAGAAGACTGAATGAATCTCTTCTCTCAAATGGAAATAACTACAGAACAGGGACCAGCCAACTATAGCCTATGGGCCAAACTGCGTGTGTGTTTAAATAATCTACAAATTAAGAATGGTATTTACATTTGAAAATGGTTACATTTTTTTCTTTTTTAAAATAAATTTTTATTGATTTCAGAGAGGAAGGGAGAGGGAGAATGAGAGAGAAACATCAATGATGAGAGAGAATCATTGATCAGTTGCCTCCTGCACGCCCCTTACTGGAGATCAAGCCCACAACCGAGGCATACGCCCTAAATGGGAATTGAACTGAAACCTCCTGGTTCATGGGTTAACACTCAACCACTGAGCCATACTAGCCGGGCTGAAATGGTTACATTTTAAATGGCTATTTAAGTATCCATACAATACTCTCAATTTTGCCTTCAGACTCCAAAAGCCTAAAATATCTACTATCTGGCCCTTTAAGAAAAGTTTACAAAACTTATATAGAAAATATTTTATACTAGAGGCCCAGTGCATGAAACTCATGCACAGGGTTGGGGGAGGTCCCTCAGCCCAGCCTGCACCCTCTCGCAATCCGTGAACCCTCAGGGGATGTCCAACTGCTGGTTTAGGCCGATCCCACAAGGATCTCTGCGGGATCAGGCCTAAACCGGCAGTCGGACATCCCTCTTGCAATCCGGGACCACTGGCTCTTAACCACTTGCCTGCCTGATCACCCCTAACCACTCTGCCTGCCTGCCTGATTGCCCCTAATTACCTCTGCCTTGGCCCCCGCCACCACGGCTTTGTCCGGAATGATGTCCGGAAGGTCATTCGGCTGTCCGGTCTAATTAGCATATTACGCTTTTATTATTATAGATGCACTCAAATGTGACCATTTGGATTCCAATATGGAAATGTGCCCTGACCAGGAATTGGACCAGTGACCTCCTGGTGCATGGTCGATGCTCAGCCAATGAGCCACACTGGCTGGGCACTATAGTACTATTTCTTGCCCACTGCTTTAGCAAAGTTGCTGCTCTAATCTTTTTCAGTTTTTTAATTTTATTGATTTTTTTATAGAGAGGAAGAGAGAGAAAGAGAGAGAAAGAAAGAAACATCAATGTGAAAGAAAAACACAGATCAGTAGCCTCCTATATACACTCCAACTGGGGATCAAACCTGCAACCTGGATATGTTACCTGACCAAGAATCAAGCCCGCCACCTTTTGGTGTATGGGACAATGCTCCAAACGAGGCACACCGGCCAGGGCACTGCTGCTCTCATATTGATAAGCTTTTGGAATATGTACTAAAGACCTGAGAGGTACTGGCAAAAAGCCTCTTTAGAACTTTGCGTCTAAATAGACCAATGAAAATTCTATATACATCATACCTGCTTCCACGCAATGCTGAGAGCCCAAGCTGCAGGAGAGCTATCACTTCCAACTAGTATTTTAATCAGGTGTAGAAGGATGGGGGCACTAAATTGTTTTGCCTCAATAAAACAAACTCACGGCTTGTGTGGATAGCATTTCATTAATGCTGTGGTCATACTGCTCAGCCAAGATGGCTAACTTCCGGGTCTGCTCCTCCTTGAGCCGTTTCAGAACAGCTTTGTGCTCACTCTTTGGTGTAGTCTCCAGTAGGTGATTTCTTAATGCTTTGTACTGTCTGGTTTGGATTTTGCAGGTGTCCTGAAACTGCTTTTTTATTTGGAGTTCTTTAGACTGGGAAGAAAAAAATAGATGTATATAATTTTTAACATATGGCATTTGGCATACCTTATGCTTACATAAAAAAAGGCTACTAGGAAAAAGGGAAAGGAAACATAAAAGATGAAATCATAGGTTACAGGTACTTTTGCACTTGGCTATTGGGCCAGATCACTAAATTCTATACATTTTAATAACAAAATTCTAATTTAAATCATTAGAATACCAACAACCTCATTTATCACAGTATTTCAAGCAATACTCAATACTCTGCTAGTAAGTTTAGCTAATGAATAAATATTAAAATTAGTTTTGATTACTGTGTATATTGATGACAGAAAGTTAAATTTCTTCTCAAGCAACAAGTGTAGTAAATATTAAAGCACAGACAATATTTTATCAGATCTCTCAGGTAGAAAATAAGCATATTTACTCTGTTCCTTATTTGAGACACTTTGCTCCAATTTCTTCTAATCACAATCTCAACTCCAACTACATGGTCTGGGACACACCCCATAAAAAAGGGTATTGATAATTAATATTGTTATTACAATTGGTCTTTTCCTTCAGGGAACACACTAGGTAGAAACACACTTAAGAATAGTTTACTCTTTAACAACACCACAAATAAAAACTTGCAAGTCAGTTTACTTGCAATTAACTGAGTTTACTAATATTTCAAAGATCAAACAAAAGTTATGGGGCAAAGGAGAGGACAACTCTTTTTAGGATGATGACAAACATGAATTACATAAACATTTATGTGATTAAATAATCCAAATTATTCTAATACAAAAGTAATAGAATAATTTCCTTTGTGGGAATTCCTTTCTTTCTTTCTTTCTTTTTTTTTTTTTTTAAGATTTTTTATTGGTTTGTAGAGAGGAAGGGAGAGGGGAAGAGAGAGAGAGAAACATCGATGTGAGATCGGAACATATATTGGCTGCCTCCTGCATGCTCCCTGCCAGGGATAGAGCCTGCAACCCAGGCATGTGTCCTGACTGGAATCAAACCAGCAACCTTTTGGTGCATGGGATGATGCCCAACCAACTGAGCCACACTGGCCATGGCCAGGCCTTTATGGGAATTCTTGAGCTCATTTGTCATCAGAAGGAGGCATTCTATTCAAAGTCTGACTGTGTTTGTAAAACATTGTTTTCTCCTCACTTTCTGTGAAAATCAGACTATTGTTGACAAGCTTTCAAACTGAAAAGGCTCCAACAACAGGAAACAGGAAGGGTTGCTAAATATCAAACAACCCTAACAAAAGGAAGATAAACAACCCAATCAAAACATGGACAATGGACCTAAATAGATACTTTTCGAAAGAGGACATAAAGAAGGCCAAGAGACATGAAAACATGCTAAGTCACTAATCATCCGAGAGATGCAAATCAAAATGACAATGAGGTACTATCTCACACCTGTCAGAATGGTTATCATCAACAAATCAACAAATGACGAGTGCTGGCGAGGATGCGGAGAAAAAGGAACCCTTCTGCACTGCTGGTGGGAATGCAGACTGGTGCAGCCACTGTGGAGAACGGTATGGAGTTTCCTCTCAAAAAACTAAAAATGAAACTCCCATTTGACCCAGTGATCCCACTTCCAGGAATATATCCCAAGAAACTAGAAACACCAATCAAAAAGGATATATGCATCCCTATAGCACAATTTACCATAGCTAAGATTTGGAAACAACCTAAGTGCCCATCAGCAGATGAATGGATTAAAAAACTGTGGTACATCTACACAATGGAATATTACGCTGCTGTAAAAAGGAACTCCTACCATTTGCAACAGCATGCATGGACCTAGAGAGCATTATGCTAAGTGAAATAAGTCAGTCAGAGAAAGATAAGTATCACATGATCTCACTTATTTGTGGAATATAATGAACAACATAAACTGATGAACAAAAACAGATCCAGAGAAGCATCGATCAGACTGTCAAACCTCAGAGGGAAGGCAGGGGAGGGTGGGGGTAAGGAGGAGAGATCAACCAAAGGACTTGTATGCATGTATATAAGCATAACCAATGGAAACAGACACCAGGGGGGTGAGGGCATGAGCGGGGGTGTGGTGGGTGGGTGGGGGGGACAATGGGGAGATAAGGACACATATGTAATACTGTAATCAATAAAGGAAAAAAAAAAGAACATCAAACAACTATCTTACAGAAATGCAGTCATATCAGATTTGTGGTATGACCATAAAAACTAAGCTTTCAGTTTTGTTTATTTCTGGCTGCTGCTGAATTTAAAACTAATTAATTATTTCACAGACATGTTATTTAAAAAATCTTTTGTGGGAAATTATTCTGTTACCAAAAGAGTATCTCTTTCCACTAAAAAGACAAAATAAATCTAAAAAATCATTATGAATTCCTATTTTTGTAAGCAACAACTAAAGAAGGTTATGTGGATGGACAGATTCCTTTCCTGTTTGAAAGGAATTGGGTGAGAACTGGGGATACCACTGGATGTGGTGCAGCTTTAAGATTTTAACACAGAATACCTCGGTGAATGAATTTTACTTTACTCCAGGACAGCTTTTCAGTTAAGACCAAGAACAGTTTTCTAGTTTAATTATCAAATAGTTTTAAAAAGAGGAAAGGGCTTAAAAAGAAAATACTGTGGGACCTGGGCCTTATTTGATATAAATAAAAGTTTAAAGTGTGCAGACATATACAGATTAATTGAGGTACTAATATGGATGATAGCCTATATATTGTGTAGTTTTAGTTTATTACGATTCATGTGACTATACTCCTTCAAATATTTATTACAAGTTATAAAACTCGAAAATTTCTTGGAATTGTTAACTCTGGTTGACTCTGGTGAAGGGGGTTGGACCAGGTGGCTGGAGGGACAAAGGGGAGGAAGGGCAACCTTTAACTTTATAGTGTACTTTGGTATCTTTCAAATTTTATATCATGTGAATGAATTCCTCTATTCAAAGCAAGTATAAAAATTAAAGCTCTGCTATGATTCCACTATTTTTCCTCAGATGTGCACAGACAATGAAGGGAGAGGAGTTAAAAAGGCATATTTTATTCACTGGCTTTTGTACTAATTAGGAACTGACTTTTTTGGATACAAATCACATTTAGAGCAAATAAGATTCCAAACTGAATTAATTGGAACAGAGAAAAAGCCAACAGGTTAGCATGTTGACATGTAATATAGCATTGAACATTTGGGTACATTTAATATAAAAATTTTGATTCTTATTGATGGCACTTCCTGCAGTTAAGTTTTGCTAGTTTTTGGTATTTGGTGAGAAATACATAAGCAAAAGTCTGTAGCTACAGAGACACTGCACATTAAAACTAACCAAACATGCTTAAAATGAAAAGAAGAAAAAAATTTATTCAATTTCTTTATGACAGACATCTATCTTAGACCTTTACTGTTTACGTGGATGCCTTTTTTCCTCTTTTCCCTGTCAAGCTTAGGCTAAAGGTACCTTCAGGCTCTTAGGCTGCTGTCGAACCTCCATGACATGCTTTCGCCTTAGTTCCCGTTCTCTTCGCTTATTATATTCCAGCTGGTTAGTGAGCTCAGTTTGATGCTGTAATCTGATCAACTCACAGCGCATCTTCTGAATTGTGTTGAGGTGACGAAACTCCAGTTCTTGCATGGATTCATGTTGTCGCAGTAGCATGGCATGCTCTAAGTCCTTTTGGGTCTGCCTTTTATTTAACTCCTAATCCAAAAAACAAGAGACAAAAGGTATAATTTACTGCCGTATAATGGCAGGAAAAAATATCCTAAGAAACAGAATAACCAGAAAAGAAATGTAAAAACCAAGTTCAATAATGGCTGCATAGTAAACATTAGAATTTTATAACTTTTACTGTAGGAAATGTGCAATTAGTAGCATAAATTTCCTTATCCTTGTCATTTACTATTCATTAATACTATTTTTTGAAATAAGATTAAGATAAATTTATCTGAAGAAGCTTAATGTCCTTTTCCTTTCCTTCTTTTATGTATTGCTTCTTAATTATATATTTGAAGAGGTCCCTAAGTCATCCTTTGAATTTTTTCAGAGTATACTCTTCAATTCTATTACATATAGTATACCCAGTATAGTGTTGTGGTTAAGAACATGGACTCAAGAGCTAGACTGCCTGTATTCTAAATCCTGGGTCTGCTACTTAGGAACAGTAAGTCCTTGGGTTAGTTATTTAGACTCTCAGTGCTTCAGTTTCATCACTTCTCAAAATAAGAGATAACAATCTAGCTATTTCATAGATTTAATATGCGAATGAAATGAGTTCATAAATGGAAAGTTCTCAGAATAATACATGGCACGATGCTCAATGAATGTTATTATTCTTGCCCTGGCCGACGTGCTCAGTGGTTAGAGCATCAGCCTGCACACCAGAGGATCACAGGTTTGATTCCTGGCCAATGGGAGGTACCTGGGTTGCAGGTTCCATACACACATGTGGGAGCAACTAATCAATGTGTCTCTCTCACATTGATGTTTCTCTCTTTCTCCTTTCCCCCTTCCTTCCACTCTCTTTAAAAATCAATGGAAAAAATACCCTTACTCCTAGGATGAGTATTTAAAAAGCTGTTATTATTTTCTTCTTTAGATTAAAAAGAACAAGTGTTAAAATTAATACAACAAAGAGTTGGTTCTTTGAAAAGATTAATAAAATTGACAAATCTAAATAGACTGATTAGCAGTGAGGAAGTTGAAACCAACAAGACCCTACCTTTTAAAAAACAGAAGTCCAGACCAGATGGCTTCACCTGTGAATTCTACCAAACATTCAAAGAAGATTTGAAACCTATCCTTCTCAAACTCTTCCAAAAAACTGAAGAGGCAATATTTCCTAACACATTTTATGAGGCCAACATAACCCTAATACCAAAACCTGACAAGAATAACACACACACAAAAACTACATACCAATATCGCTGATGAATACTGATTTAAAAATCCTAAACAAAATACCAGCAAGTAGAATACAATAATACATTAAAAAAATAATACATCATGATCAAGTGGGATTCATTCCAGGGGCACAAGGATGATTCAACATACGCAAATCGATCAAGGTAATACATCACATTAACAAAAGAAAGGATAAAAACCATACGATCTTATCAATAGGTGCAAAAAAAGTATTTGATAAGATACAACATCCATTTTAAAAACAATAAAATAGGTATAGAAGGAAAGTATCTCAACATAATAAGGCCCATATATGACAAACCCACAGCCAATATCACACTCAATGATGAAAAACTGAAGGCTTTTCCTAAAAAATCAGGAACAAGACAAGGATGCCCACTCTCACCACTCTTATTCAACATAGTTCTAGAAGTCCTAACAATCAGGCAAGAGAACGAAATAAAAGGCATCCAAATTGGGAAGGAAGAAGTAAAAGTGTCACTATTTGCAGATGACATGATTCTGTATATAGAAAATCCCAAAAACTCCACAAAAAAATTAATAGAAACAATAAAGTTGTAGGATACAAAATCAATGTACTAAAACCCACTGCTTTCTTATATAACTAACAACGAAACTTCAGAAAAAGAAATGAAAAAAAATTTCCTTTCGCAGTTGCAAGCAAAAGAATAAAGTACCTAGGAATAACTGTAACAAAGGATGTGAAAGACCTATATACTGAAACCTAAAAAGCATTATTAAAAGAGATTGAAAAAGACACAATGAAATGAACACAGATATTCTGTGTTCATAGACTGAAGAATCGACATAGTTAAAATGGTCATATTACCCAAAGCAATATACAAATTCAATGCTATTCCCATCAAAATCCCAGTGTTATTTTTTAAAGACACAGAACAAAAAAAGTCATCAAATCTGTATGGAACCACAAAAGACCCCAAATAGCCAAAGCAATGAAAAAAAGAATGAAGCCAGAGGTATCACACTAACTGTCTTCAAATTATACCACAGAGCTATGATAATCAAAACAGCATGGCACTGGCAGAAATGGAATTGAATTGAGAGCTCCAATATAAAACCACATGTATATGGGCAGAATTTTCAGCAAAGAAGCCAGAAATACACCATGGAGAAAAGAAAGGCTCTTCAATAAGTGGTTCTGGGAAACCTGGAAAGCCACATGCAGAAAAATGTAACTAGATTACAGTTTGTCCCATGAACAAAAATTAATCAAAATGGATCAAAGACCTAAATGTAAGATCTGAAACAATAAATTACACAGAAGAAAACATAGGTTTTAAAGTTGTGAACTTTGGTCACAGAGAACATTTTATGAATTTGACCCCAAAGGCAAGACAAGTAAAGGCTAAAATAAATGAATGGGACTATATCAAACTAAAAAGCTTCTGCAGAGCAAAAGAAACCAATAACAAAACAAAAAGGCAACTGAATGAATAGGAGGTGATATTTGCAAACAACAGTTCTGACAAAGGTTTAATATCCAAAATATATAAAGAACTTATAAAAATCAACACTAATCAAATTAAAATATGGACAGAGGACCTGAACAGACACTTCTCCCAAATGGCCAACAGTTATATGAAAAGATGTTCAACTTCACTAGCTATTAGGGAAATGCAAATTAAAACTACAATGAGATACCGCCTCATACCTGTTAGAATGGCTATTATCCACAAAGATAGGTAATGAAAAGTGCTGGAGAGGTGTAGAGAAAAGGAAACCCTCATTCACTGCTGCTGGGAATATAGACTGGTACAGCCACTATAAAAAACAGTCTGGCAGTTCCTCAAAAAAATTAAGAATAGAGTTACCATAAGACTCAGCAATTCCTTTCCTGGGTAATCTACCTGTAAAACTCAAAAACATATACCTGCAAAGATCTATGCACCCTATGTTCATTGCAGCACTATTCGTGTGGCCAAGACATGGAAACAACCAAAGTGTCCTTCAGTAGATGACTGGATAAAGAAGATGTGGCACATATATACAATGAATTCTACTCAGCCATAAGAAAAGACAAAATCCTGACATTTGCAACAACATGGACGGACCTTGAGAATATTATGCTAAGTGAAGTAAGTCAGTCAGAAAAAGCTAAGAACCACATGACCTCACTCATATATGGGATCTAAAACTGAAACTAATGGACACAGACAACAGTGTGGTGCTTGCCAGAGGGAAAGGGGTGGTGGGGTAGCGGGGGCTGGAGAGGGCTTAATACATGGTGACAGAAGATGGTTTGACTTTGGGTGATGGGCACACAGTGCAATACACGATTTCATATCACAGAAATATACACTTGAAACTATATGATCCTATTAATCAATGTTACCCCAATAAATTTAATTAAAATGTGCAAAAGTGAAAAAATAAATAAATAATAAGAATAAGAGTACAACACACTCACACACACACACACACACACACACACACACACACACACACAACACAAAACGTAAAAGTCAAATCAAACTTGCCCCTTTTGCCTAAACCCTTTTTCCAGAGGACAACAGTTTGTTGCAAATGTTTCTCAACCTTCCCCAGCTCATCATAACATATCTATTACAGAAAAACATACAGTTTTTTAAAAAGCGAATAATAATATACAATATAGGCATGTAATATGCTTTCTTCATCTAATAATATAATGAACATATATACAAATCAGATCAGTACATGTAGATCTTTTTTTAAAAATTTTTAAGTAAGTACTGCTTTGCAATACCATAATCTTGCCGTTTTTTTGCTTTATAAACAAATTTTCAATAAATATCTATGTGTGATGCATCATATAATTACATTATTATTTCTTAAGGATAGATTTCTAGAAATGGATTTGATGGATAAAAGCATACGTGCATATTATATTTTACTTATTTATTTTTTGTTAATCCTAACCCAGGGATACTTTTTCCATTGTTTTTTTTTGTAGAGAGTGAAAGGGAGGGTGGTGGTGGGGCGGGGGGGGGGGGGGTAGTGGGGGGGAGGCGAGATCAATGTGAGAAAGACACATTGATTGGTTGCCTTCCCGCATGTGCCCCAACCAGGACAGGGGATGGAACCTGCAACCCAGAGACATGCCCTTGACTTGGAATTGAACCCGAGACCCTTCAGTGCATGAGCCAATGCTCTAACCACTGAGAACACTGGCCAGGGGTGCATATTACATTTTAAGCGCTGCTTCTGAATTATGTTTCAAAAGGACAGTTTCAATTTATACTCTTACCAATACTACCCATTTCTCCATGCCAGACTCAATGCCTTTGAATAATTATGTTATATTTGAAGCTTATTTTAAGTCACTCTTGGAAATAAATTTATCCATGCTCACAGGTACCTCTGATAATGAGATCTACTGTTTTCACTAGTATAAGAGTTTCAGGATTTGTCTAATTGTCTATAATAATAAAAGCGTAGACCTAGACGGTTTGGTTCAGTGGATAGAGCGTCAGCCTGTGGACTCAAGGGTCCCGGGTTTGATTCCAGTCCAGGGCACATGCCTGGGTTTGCGGGCTCGATCCCCAGTGGGGGGCGTGCAGGAGTCAGCCAATCAATGGTTCTCTCTGAATCACTGATGTTTCTATCTCCCTCTCTCCCTTCCTCTCTGATATCAATAAAAATATATTTAAACAAATAAAAATAAAAAATAAAAGAGTAATATACTAATTAGACCAGACGGTCTTCCAGACATCCTTCCTTCCTGCCAAAGCTGCAGCAGGCGGGGGCTGCAGTGGCGGCAGCCGGGGGGCCGGGGTCAAGGCACTTGCACGAATTTCGTGCATTGGGCCTCTAGTATGATTATAAATGTGTTAAATGACTTTTTGCCTCCCATGTGCTTAGAGATTGGCCATCATCATGAACAACACAATAACGATCTGGATCAGGAAGTTCATGACCAACAGACTACTTCAGTGGAAACAAATGATCACTCATGTTCTTTACACCCTGGGAAGGCAACAGTACCTAAGACAGAAACTCGGGAAAAACTAGCCAAAATGTATAAGCACACCAGATGTCATCTTTGTGTATAGATTCAGAATTCATTTTGGTGGTGGCAAGACAACTGGCTTTGGCGTGATTTAGGATTCCTTGGATTACACAAAGAAAAGTGAATCCAAACATAGATGCTTACAAAACATGGCCTGCACGAGAAAAAGAAGACCTCAAGAAAACAGAAAAAGGAATGTAAGAATAGAATGAAGAAAGTCAGGGGAACTGCAAAGGCCAATGTTGGTGTTAGCAAAAAATGAGCTGGAGATTGGACAACAGGATTAAAGATTATTTAGTGACTTTATCTGTGGTTATTGTGCAGTTTTTTCATGAGAGGATTAATAAACTAAGAACTTTTATGTGAAAATAAATGTGTCAAATGGTAACATACACTTCAAGGCATCCATTGCAGATCAAAGGCATAATAAATTATCCAATTAATGTTTTCATATTTAAAAGCTAATACTTCTTTTATTCATGGATTTAGTATTTATTAAATATAATGTTTATTGAATGCTTACTATGAGTCAGATACTAAGCATATAAAGACCCAAATAGAATCCATGACTTCATATAAATTCTTTTAAAAAAACCTTATTTATTGATTTTAGAGAGAAAGGAAAGGAAAGGGGACAGAGGGGGGAAAGAGAGAGAGAGAGAGAGAGAGAGAGAGAGAGAGAGAGAGAGAGAGAGAGAGAGGGAGGAGAGAGGGAGAGAGAGAGAAACATTGATTTGTTATTCCACTTATTTATACATTCATTGGTTGATGCTTGTATGTGCCTTGACCAGGGATTGAACCTGCAATCTTGGCATATTGGGATGACACTCTAACCAAATGACCTACCCAGCCAGGGCCTGTGACTTCATGTAATTTCCATTCTAGTGGGGAAGTGAGACTTCCTCCAAAAAAGTGCCTGTATGTGTGAGAGAGAGAATACAAAGAAAAACATTTAAAGAAGGGAGAAGGATTTTGCAATGAAGGAATTTCTGAGGAGGAGACATGTGAAGAGAGGTATGAAAGAAGGGAGAAGGCAAGTCACATGGATATCAGGGGAAGAAGGACTTAGGCAGAAGGAAGTGTAAGTGCAAAGGCCTTGAGGCTGGGATGTGAGTGACACATAGGGTGTCCCAAAAAATGTATACATACTTTACAGCTGATGGCTCAATTAATGTTTTTTACTTTTTAAATTCAACTCATTGGAATTAATAATCATTCAAAATGTGTATACATTTTTTTACCCTGATTTCACATCATTTAAACGTACCTCCCTGACAAGGTCCTGCTCTAAGTTATGGCGTCCAAGTAACATTCTTCTCTTGAAGCGGCGGCACTCCAGCTCTAGGTATTGTCTCTGACGTCGAAGAAGATTAGCCTCTTCTTCTGCTTGGAAATGCTGTATATTCTCCTTTTGCTTTGAAAGCCACTCCTGTTTTTCTTTTTTTGGAGTGCTCTGGTTTTCATTTAGCTCCTAGCAACATAAAAAAACCACTGAGTTCAAAATACTTAAAAATTAACTACATGAATGTACCATTTGGTATCTGATATCCTAGTCTATATAATAAAAACCTAATATGCTAAGTGTCTGACTGTTCAACTGTTTGACCAGTTGCTATGATATGCACTGACCACCAGAGGGCAGACACTCCTACCGGTAGGTTAGCTTGCTGCTGGGGTCCGGCTAACTGGGACTGGATGAGATGGGCCAGACACACCCTGGAGCTCTCCTGTGGACCCTCCCTGACCCCGATAATGCACTGGTGGGGTCCCTCGGCCTGGTCTGCGGGGATCAGGCCAAAACCAGCTCTCGGACATCCTCCGAGGGATCCTGGATTGTGAGAAGGCACAGGCCAGGCCAAGGGGCCCCACCGGTGCCCGAATACATGCACCAGGCCTCTAGTATTTAAATAAAATATTTTACCTATGTCCTCTCTAATGAATAGGCAGGGCAATGACCTTAAGGAGGTAGGTAATATTTTCCTTTTCCTTGAGTTATCCATGAAGTAGGACAGGAAAGAGAAATGTACACCGGAAAGCATGCATACCCTTTAACTTCACACAGCTGAATTTATGATGGTTTCTAGCTTCAAAAGCACAAAATGACTGGTAGATGAAATAAAACACACCTTTCTTTAATCTTTTCTGTGGCAGAAGGCAATGATTTCAGGTAAAAATAGTATGTGAATTAAAATTAGGGCTAAAATACAGTTATGTTTCACTTCTTGGTTTTAAACAGTCTAAATATTAAGTTTTTTTGAAAAATTATGGATAGACTCAATGTAAAAGAATTAAAAATTAAATAGAAAAATCAACAAAACCATGGAAGAACAGAGATCTTCCTCATGAATGGTATTTAATATTTAGCATTAATAACCACTGAACAATCAAAACCAATGTTTTACTACAGCATTTTAAGTAACATCTCATAAACTAATAAATGGAAAAAATGCATTTTATTGGGTAAGATGAGAGCATTGACAATATACTCAGTGAGGCAAACCCTAAAATGCTAATTAACACTAGTATATTTTCAATCTAAAAGGCATCACCATATGCCTTTTAGGTTAAAAATAAATATAAATTAGCCATCTTTCCTAGGTATAAAATGATTTTTCAGAGATTACTAACCTTATGGTCTTTCCCGTTATCAAGAAAGAGACCAATTCTTTGCAACTTTAGTTCATAAAATATTCAAACAACAAAAAAATAAAAACCACATAAATTGGTAGCTCTCAATGTAAGGGTATATGTGTATGCACACAATGGGACAAGTCAGTTACTTAATAAATGCATAGGAAAGCTATTATAAGTAAAATTATATTTTCAGATGTTTCTTTTTGGATCTTAATCAACTGAGGATCTTAGTTCATTGATGAGTAATTGATTATAATCAATGTCTTCATTAGAACTGATATACATTTAGTGAACACAAGCAACAAAAGAAAACTTCATTTTGCATAGGGAATATAGTCAATAATATTGTTATAACTATTTATGGAGCCAGGTGAACACTAGACTTATTAAGGAGATCACTTCATAATTTATATGTCTAACCACTATGCTATACACCTGAAACTAATATTGAATGTCAACTGTAATTAAAAAAAAAAAAAATTTAAAAGAGAAATTTATCCTAATGCTTCTATGAGTTGATCAGATTGGATATAATTAACAATCAGATAACTGCCTTGACTATTTTTATAAAATAAGTACCTCCTTAAGCTGTTCTTTTCGAAGTTTGTATTCTCTCTTCTGGGACTCCAAAAAGCTATTCAGTTCTTTCTTCTGTTGGGCCTGAATATGTTGCTGGAATTTTTTCTCCTCATTGGCCATCACTTTAGCCTGTAAGAAATTTTAAAAAATGGATCAAATTAGTTAAATAGATTCAAAGCAGCAGTTTAATACATATCACCAATGATACCTTTGTTCCCCAAGAATATAAAATCAGTATAAACATTACCAAAATAAGAATCCCCAAATTATTATTATTACTCAGATCTTTTATTATATGAATTTTAGGAGAATCAGAAAATAAAATTCATCTTTAAAATAATATGTATCATCTGTTTTACTTCTGATTATATATATTAGATACATATCTATTGTAGAAAATTTAGGAAATACAGAAAACACAAAGAAGAAAAATCTTATGTGATTTTAGCACCCAGAAATAACTAATATAAACATTTTGGTGATACTCTTCCTAATTTTTTCATGCATATATTTGTATATACATATATATTTTAAACAAATCTGTAATTATATTGCACATCTTATTTCATGAATTATTTTTGCAAATATGCTAATTTCTACCTCTTCTCAAGTTATTAAAAACACTACCCAAAGCCTAACAGGATTCTAAATACCTGTACATTCTTTCACAAATTATTTCAAAATCAAGTATGTATTTACATCAGAAGTTATTTTGCCAACTTCTCTACTATTGTGAGAGAGTGGTTCTTCTTTTTTTTTTTGGGGGGGGGGGGGGAGGGGGTGAAAAGGGTAACAATGACAATGCCTCAATGTGGACTAGCCAGACATATTTAATGATTTTTGTGTGAATTTACTGAGAAGTTTACATTTTCCTTGAAAAAATGTGACTCTCAAAATAAAATGAAACAGATGGGACACTAAAAACAGAAGAAAAGATTTCCCATGACAAGACTGCTTAAAAATACACCATTATCATACTAAACAAATGGGCTAAATCTTAATCTCTCAATTTATAACCTTTAACATGTTGTGTATATTATAATAATCTTCAATTATTCTGAATAAAAATCCTGTTACAAATTTTTTAAATGTTTTCAAAAAATACAGAGAAGAGAATCAAGAATGATATTTTGAAACCTAAACCACCTATTGATGAGTTTCTCAAACTCCTCAATTACCAGGGAATCCAAAGGCCGAAAATAGTTGAATGACTTACTACTGTGACACTATAAAGCTATCAACATCAGGAGATGATCCCATGTCTATTGGTTTCCAGATTCAGTACTTGATATTGTACATGTTATATAAATATTTCTCCTTTTCCCCAATTGATTTGCTTGGTTCTGGGAACAGATACACTAACACCAAAATGCTACCTTGATTAATTCTGAGATGATCAAAAGCTAGAATAAGTAAATTAATAATACTGAACCCTGGCTGGGTAGCTTAGTTGGTTAGAGCACTGTCCTGATGTGCCAAGGTTGTGGGTTCAAACCTCAGTTAGGGCACATACAAGAATCAACCAATGAATGCAGAAATAAGTGGAACAACAAATCGTTGTTTGTCTCTCTTCCTGTCTCTAACAAATAAAAAAATTAAAAAGTTTAAAAAATGTAATACTGAATCAGTCACCTCTTTTTCCATAGCAGCCTGATGTTTCTTGATAAGTTTCTCCATTTCTGCAGCAAAATTGTTACGTTGAGTTTCAAGATCTTTATCTAATCTGAGGCGATGTTCATCCATCTCAGCCTTTAGCTTATTTTCTAGAGTCATCAGCTGCTTTTGATGTTGTCGCCTCATTCTCTTATAGCCAGACATTTGTTCTCTAAGTTCAGAGTCCTGCTCATGTTCTTGCATTTGCCTTGTAACCTAGAAGGAAAGAATAAAATAAAGCAAACATTTTCCTTTCAAATGCATTTTAGACCACTCTGCTATTAACTAAGTAGGCAATTAACGTAAGAGATCCCAGCTAGCAATTTCCAGCAGGTCTTTTAAACAGACAAGCTGGTTCTAAAATTTATATGGGAATGTAAAGGAATAGGCAAACAATCTTGAGGCGGGGGGGGGGGGGGGGTAGCTGGAAGCATACACTTCAGTAATCAAAATAGTGTGGTTTTAAGGATAGGCCGAGTAGATCAAAGGAACAGAATAAAATATAGAAATAGACCCATACATATTCAGTCAATTGATTTCTGCCTAAAAGCCATGTTAATTCAAAAAGGAAAGTGTTTTTTTTTTAACAATCCTGCTAAAACAACTGGTTCTCTGCATAAAAATAAATAAATAAACCTTAACTCCTATGTCAATCTACATACAAAAATTAATTTGAAAAGAGTTATTTGACCTAAACATAAAACCCAGAGTCATATAGCAGAAGGAAACAGAGTATCTTCACAAACTTGGGGTAGGCAAATATTTCTTGGTCAGTACACAAAATACACTGACTATAAAGAAAAAAATGTATAAATTGGATTTTCAAATTGAGGTGAAATTCACATAAAATCAAATCAATCACTTTAAAGTGAATACCTCAGTAGTATTTACTACATTCATAATTTTAGGCAACCACCACCTGTACCTAGCTACAAAATATTTTTTATCACCTCAGACGAAATCCTTTATCTGTTATACAGTTGCTCCCGATTCTTCCCTTCAGGTAACCCCCAATTTGTTTTTTGTTTCTATGGATTTATCTATTCCGGTATTTCATATAAATAGAATCATATAATATGTGACCTCTTGTGTCTGGGTTCTTTCCTTTAGCATATTTTCAAGGTTCATCCATGTTGAATAGTATGAATCAGTACTTTATTCCTTTTTATAGCTAAAAAATATTCTACTATATGCATATGCCATAATTTATCAATTCACCCATTGTGAATATCTGTGTTATTTCTACCTTTTGGCTATTGTGAATAATACTGCTATGAACATTTGTGTACATGTACTTGTTTAAATACATGTTTTCAATTCTTTGGGGTATATTCCTTGGAGTAGAATTGCTGGGTCATGTGGCAATTCTATGTTAATCTTTTCGAGGAATACTCAACTGTGTCCACAGCCGCCAAACCATTTTACATCCTACCAGCAGTATACAGGAGTTCCAATTTCTCCATATGTTCTCCGACACTTAGTTTCCTTTTTGTTGTTATTGCTGTTTTTAGTAGCCATTCTAGTGGTGTGAGGTGGTACCTCATTGTGGTTCTGATTTCTATTTCCCTAATGAATAATGATGTTGAGTATCTCTTTTCATGTGCTTGTTGGCCATTTGTATATCTTTTCTGAATAAATGTCCATTCAAGTCCTTTACCCATTTTTAAATTGGGTTGTTTAAACTGGATTTTAAAACTAAAAAAAATGATTTCTCATCAAGAAAACAGTAAGAAAAAGAATAGGTAAATCACAGATGGAGACAAAATATTTGCAAGATATATATGAGATATAATACTTGTATCCAGACTATATAAAGAACTCCTACAAATCAATATTAAAAAAATGGACACCTGAGAGCGTCGGCCTGCAGACCAAAGGGTCCCGGGTTCAATTCCAGTCAAGTATATGTACCTCGGTTGCAGGCTCCTCCCCGGCCTGGGCCCCAGGGCTTGTGCAGGAGGCAACCAATCAATGTGTTTCTCTTACACTGATATTTCTCTTTATCTTTCCCCCTCTCTTCTACTTTCTCTAAAATTCAATGGAAAAATATCTTCAAGTGAGGATTAAAAAAACAAAAGGGATGGATATCTGAATAAGAAATCAGGCAAAAGACTTGAAGAGACACCCCACTAAATTAACATACATGAATGGACAATAAGGGGTGATTATGGTGATATCTTTAGTCATAAGGAAATGCAAAACAAAAAGAACCCCCTATGAGATTCCATTTGCCACCCACCAGAATGGCTAAAATAAAAAAGACTAACAACGCCAAATTTGAATAGGATGTGAACCACCGGAAACTCTTATACATTGCTAATGGGCATATCAAATGGTACAACCATTCTGGAAAACTGTTCAACAGTTTCTTATAAAGTTAAACATACATATACCCTATGAGTCTGTAATTCTATGCTTAGATATTTATCAAAAAGAAATTAAAACATGATATTTACATAAAGATTTGTACAAAAATATTCACAGCAACCTATGTGTAATAGCTCAAAATGGGATTCAAACCAAATGCTCATCAATAGAAGGAATGAATAAATAGAAAACTATTTATAGTAATAAAAAAGACTGAACACAGCCCTAACCAGTTTGACTCAGTGGACAGAGCATCGGCTTGTGGACTGAAGGGTCCTGGGTTCGATTCCGGTCAAGGGACATGCCCAAGTTGTGGGCTCGATCCCCATTGGGGGTTGTGCAGGAGGCTGCCAATCAATGATTCTATTTCATCATTGATGTTTCTATCTCTCTTTCCCTCTCCCTTCCTCTCTGAAATAAATAAAAATATATTTTTTAAAAAAAGTGTTAGTTTTCTAAAAAAAAAGACTGAACACAACAACATAGATGAATCTCAAAAACATTAAGCTGAGCAAAATAAGCTCAACTCAAAAGAGTACATTCTGTATGATTCTATTTATATAAAATCCAAAAACAATTAAACCTAACAATAGTGAAGAAAAATAAAGTCATGAAAATGGGGAAGTGACTAAAAAGAGATATGAAGGGAACTTTTTGGGATGAAAAGAAATTTTATACATCCTGTTTTTTAAGGGGATGGTTTGCATAGGTATATACCATTATAAAAACTCTTCAAACTGACTATCTAAGATCTGTGCATTTGATTGCATGAAAAAAATTCAAGGCAAAAGAAGTTAGACTGAATTATGGTGTATAGTAAATATATTGAATACTATAGCTATGCTTATCTTTGCAAATAAATCTACATACTCTGAATTTTTATTTGAAATCAATGAAATTACAGTATTGAGTTTAAGGAAATGGATCTTGAGTTTTCTAAATCCATAACTTAAGTGCTCTTAATTAATTTGAGGGAGCCAAATTTTGGGACAGAAGACTTGCTTGGGAAACATATAATATATACCAAGTTACAAAGATGTTTCCCCACAAACTGGCCCCTCTCTACGTATTTATTAAAATAGCTATGAAAAAAATTAAGCAACTTTGCCACTTGCTCTGTTCAAAGAGTTATTTAGATGTTACAGAATAGTAGGAATGACCTGAATTATGGTGGGAGATGGTGTTCTTGGCCCCACATGTCATACAGATTTACAGGTCACAGCATGGGGTTTATAAAATCTGCATATGTAGTTAACAAGTTGGATAACTCCCATATCTTTTTTTCTTTCTGTCATTTCCCCCAATAGCCTATCTATATATATAAAAGCCTAATATGCAAAGTGTCCCCTCGGGAGTTCTACTGACTGGGAGTTCGACCATTCACTATGATGTGTGCTGACCATCAGGGGCAGCGCAGAATCAAGGAAGGCCCAGACAGCGGCCGACAGCTGGGGAAGGGAGGCCCCTGGCTGACAGCCAGCAGGCCACTAGGGACCTACCCATGCACGAATTTTGTGCACTGGGCCTTTAGTTTTTTCTATAATTTCTTTCTATGCCTAGAATCCTTTACTGTGTTTTGGTCCTACCTATTTGACTGATCAAGGTTATAAGTGCCCCATCAAAACAGGGTTCCTGTAATGAGCAAATAATCATTTTTATTGTTATTTAGGAAATCAGAAAAACTATATTTTGAGTGTGTCAAATTGGATCACATGACATTTTCCAAACATTCCCCCTCATTTTTTTCGCCTCAGTATTTCCTTGTCAATTCTTATGTGGAAATAACATTTTTCCTCTTTCTCCAGCCTAAAACTAATTATTTAAGGCTCAATTTGTTTTATAAATACTTCCTTTATGGCCTGAATTAAAAGTAATCTGAATTGCCCAGCCGGCGTGGCTCAGTGGTTGAACATTGACCTATAAATGAACCAGAAGGTCACGGTTTGATTCTGGGTCAGGGCACATGCCCAGGTTTCGGGCTCAATCCCTGGTGTGGGACATACAGGAGGCAGCCAATCAATAATTCTCTCTCACCATTGATGTTTCTATCTCTCTCTCCCTCACCCTTCCTCTCTGAAATGAACAAAAAAAATATTTTTTTAAAAAAGTCATCTGAATTCCTATTGAGTATCTTGTAGTACTCTTAAAATATTCTAACATATTAGTTATTTGTGTACATGTCTTTAAGATATTATTAGTTTATTTATTTTTAAAAAATATTTTTATTGATTTGAGAGAGGAAGGGAAAGGGAGAGAGAGATAGAAACATCAATGATGAGAGAGAATCATTGATGGCTGCCTCCTGCTAGTCCCCCGATGGGTATTGAGCCCACAACCTGGACATGTGCCCTAACTGGGAATCGAACCCTGATCTCCTGGTTCATATCATAGGTTGATGCTCAACCACTGAGCCATGCCAGTAGGGCAGAAGATATTATTAGTTTAATGTGTGTTTCATATATTCTTTCTCCTAACAGGCACTTAATTCTGAATAAATGTTTTGCAAAATAAACCTCAAATACAAAAATAAAATCATTATATTTGAGTATAGATGACAAGGTCCAACATGGAAAATATACTTCAAATTCAGGTGAAGCACATACCAGTGATGCTGTCCGTATAGTAGCAAAGTGTTCTCGATTACGATAGTGTGATTTATGACGAGATACTTGGGGTGGAGATTGTGGATCTGATGCTCTTGTTCTAGGATCTCCCTCTTCTCTATAATTTTCTTCCTCCTAAATAAAAAAAGAGACAACACTATTTGAGGTGAACAGAGTTCATCTGAACTTTTAAGATAATTAGCTTAAAATGACAACCTGATCAACAAACCTCAGACAATTTTAAAAACAAACGAAAATTAGGAATGCTGATATTTTATTTTCAACATAATTAGAATCAGGAGACATCATTTCTTCAGTGTATGAAATAGCACAGAGATTCAGGATAAGAAAATGTATAAGGCTAGATTTATATCCTACTCATATGTGAAATTGCAAAGCTTTAATATGACTTGAAAATGATGATGAAACATGCAGCCAATATTTTAAACAGCAGCAATGAAATTAATTTCTTGAAGGCTCATGGGTTTTAGAAGCAATAATATAGCTTAAAAATATCTTTATAATGCGTCTGCCATTTGTCCAAGTAATAAAAAAATAGTTGCAAATTGATGTCTTTCCTTATATATTACCTTAGTTCATTAACTAAAGAGAAGTCAATTAAGTAGAAACCAACTAATTATGGGACTAATTTTTTATATTGCTGATTCTATTGTAAGAATATAAAAACTAAACAGGATTTTGCTCTAACACTTCCACTTACCTAATCATTCTTAGTAACTTCTTTGTATGTGATAAAATATATGTAATATTTGCCATTTAACCATCTTTAAGTATATAAGTCAGTGGCATTAATTACATTCTCAATGTTGTGCAACCATTGTCACTATTTCCAAATGGAAACTCTGTATCCATTAACAAAAACTTTCCTCTACTCAGCCCCTGATACCCTTTAATCTACTTTCTAACTCTAGAAATTTGCCTATTCTAGATATTTCATATAAATGGAATTACACAATTATTTGTCTTTTTGCATTTGGTTTGTATCACTTAGCATGTTTTCAAGGTTCACTCCATGTAGCAATCAGAATTTCATTCCATTTTATAGCTGAATAATATTCCATTAGATGTATATACCACGTTTTGTTTTTTCATTCATTGATGGACACTTATGTTGGTTCCACCTTTTAGTTAATGGTGTTTACTAACATTTTAGGTAGTACCACAAGCTGTTAAGTTAAAAAGGAAGCATTCCTAATAATTGCTAAAAGGAGCTACCCGACCTCAAATATTTTTAAGAAAATTAAAAATTTTGTGCTTGAAAGTGCAAAAAATGTAGCATACAACCCTATTTCTTATATACAGAATTTATACTTTTCTGTAACTACACTCAGTTTTTTTAAAAAAGTTATCTTTATTGTTGAAAGTAGTACAGATGTCCACCTGTTTACCCCCATTCACCCCCTTCCCCCCACTCCTGTCCCCTCCCCAGGCCTTCACTGCACTATTGTCTGTGTCCATGGATTATGCATAAACTATACTCAATTTTATTTTAAACATGTAAACATGGATAATGCAAAAGTTGTGTTTTTTTAAATCCTCACCTGAGGATAGTACTTTCATTGATTCAAGAAAGAGAGGAAAGGAGAAGGAGAGAAAGAGAGAAACTTCCATTGGTTGCCTCAGGTATGTGCCTTGACGGAATTATGTCCATGACCCTTTTGTGCATGGGATGATGGTCTAACACTGGCCAGGGCCCAAAGTTACTTTTGATCATCTTAAAAGCAACCATTATCACTAATTTCATGTGTATACTTACTATTTTAAAAAACTTCATTTCCCATCTTAGTACTTCAAATAATACATTATATATCTTATTTCTGTATTTCTTCTAAAATTTTAAAAAACATTATTTTTATATTCTCAAAACATTAGTTTTCCAAATGCAGACATTACATTGGGAATTAACAAGCCTATTGTTCCAAATTTCTGAAACATTAGAAAAAAATTCCTCTTATACTATTCAGATAACGAAAATTATTTACCAAAGTTGAAATTTTTCACTAAAAACCCAAATACTCACAGGTTTTAAGTGGATGACAGAACTATTAGACATCACTGTATGATCTCCCTCCATCATGTCTAGCTCACTCTTGTCATCCGAGGCATCTGGAAGACTGTTAACACTACTGCTTTGGCTACTGGCACTAATGGACATACTGGGAATAGACTGATTACTTCCAACACTATTCACTGTTCCTGTCCGTCCAACACCATGATCTTGTTCCTAAGGGAAAAGAGCATTACGTTCAAATATCGGTATTTCTTTTGAATTCTTGAATACAAGTACCTTGCACATTGCTTGGCATATAGTCTTCAGAAAGTCACAGGTCTATCATGAGAAATCCCCTTTAATTGTCAAACCAGTAAGTTTACCAACTGTTCCTTGACAGTAAAAAAACCCAACCGTGGGTAAAAGTCAGCTAATCAGTTTTGGGTTATTTCTAAAGTGTAGTATTTTCTCTAAACTGATATTTTTAAAATCCATTTCTACCACACAATTCATGGGCTATATATAGAGATTATGCTCATTTCTCAATGATTCCCATGGTTAAAACAAGCCCCAACTTTTTTTTTTTTAATCTTATAAACAACCCACCCCCCACCACCACCCTTTTAAATATTTTTATTGATTACAGAGAGGAAGTGAGGAGAGACAGAAACATCAATGATGAGAGAGAATCACTGATAGGCTGCCTCCTCCACACCCCTCACTGGGGATCAAGCCCACAAGCTGGGCATGTGCCCTTGACCAGAATCGAACCTGCGACCCTTCAGTCTGCAGGCCGATGCTCTATCCTCTGAGCCAAACCGGCTACGGCTAAACAACCCCTTTTAATTATTTTTTATTGAAGCCTTTTATAAGTATACTAGAGGCCCGATGCACGAAATTCATGCAAGGGGCTCGGCCCTCACAGCCCTGGCTTTGTCCAGAAGGTCATTCGGCTGTCCAGTCTAACTAGCATATTACACTTTTATTATTATAGATTTTCCTTTCTTCCTCAGTATATAATCTCTAGCCCATCCTCTACCACCATATAATTAACATTAATTCTTATCCATTTTTGTGCAAATTGAAAATGACATATTACTTATGTATTTAATCATAATCATAAGATTGTTTTTCTGAAGTAACCAGGCAAGCAATGATATCTAGGCACCAACATTATAGCAGTCTTACCATATCAAAATTCTATAAGACATGCAGAATTTTTTAAAGATATGCAGAATTTAATTAATATAGACCAGTAGTTCCCAATCTTTTTTTGACCATGCCCCACCTGTGACATATAATTCTTATTATGTAAAATTGAACTCCTATTCACATGGAGGAAATCTAAAAGGCCATTAAAGTGGTCTAAACAAGCTTCCAAAGAACATGGCATCCATGAAAGAGAAAAATAAAAGAATGAAAGGACAATTGAAGTACTGAGGAAGAAATCAATAAGAAATTGTTTAAAAAATAATAATATATGAAGTGATATGAAAAAATAGCAAAGTTTCAAAACATATGAGAGCTAAAATGCATAAATACATCACTATGTATTTATATACTGTATATGAGGCCCCTAGAACCATAGAAATGCAAAAAATTCACTGTTCATAACTCATTCTTGAATTGCCCCCCTTAAAAATCAAATTGCCCCCATGTGGGGCCTGTGCCCCACGTTGGGAACCACTGATAAAGACCCATGGTGTGTATATCTCTCATTATATATAGATATATATATCTTGCCCTGGCCGGGTTTGCTCAGTGGATAGAGCGTCGGCCTGCGGACTGAAGGGTCCCAGGTTCAATTCCGGTCAAGGGCACATGCCTGGGTTGTGGGCTCAATCTCCAGTGGGGTAAGTGCAGGAGGCAGCCGGTCAATGATTCTCTCTCATCATTGATGTTTCTTTTCTTTTCTTTTTTTTTTAATAATATATTTTTATTGATTTTTTTTTACAGAGGAAGGGAGAGGGATAGAGAGTCAGAAACATCGATGAGAGAGAAACATCGATCAACCGCCTCCTGCACACCTCCTACTGGGGATGTGCCCGCAACCAAAGTACATGCCCTTGACCGGAATCGAACCTGGGACCTTTCAGTCCACAGGCCGACGCTCTATCCCCTGAGCCAAGCCAGTTTTGGCATCATCACTGATGTTTCTATCTCTCTCTCCTCCCTTCCTCTCTGAAACCAATAGAGAAATATGAACATATATGAACTTATATATCCCTAGCCTATCAAAGATGCTACATTAAAATTATAGATTTAACTACATTAGAATTTTATTAATTTCACAACTCTGCTAAAATACTCATATATTTAAAATAGCCCCAAACAATGTTCTAATGACTATTATAAGAATTAATAAAATAAAATAAAAACAAAAAACTGTAAGTTAAGAAAGTATTGTATTTTATAGTTCATTAACTATGCAGCCCTATTAAAAAGAAAAGTAATTAACTACTGCTCCTGGTTTCAGAATGCAAAGTGATCTCCTTCACTGGAAAGTAATACAAAAAAAAAAAAAAAAAAAAAAAAAAAAATCAAAGCTTTGGAATTCTAACAGAAATACAGAAGAAAACTGAAAATATTTAGAGTGAAAAAGATAAGGTGAATTAACCATTCTAAGCCTTGCTTTACTCATCTGTAAAATTAGTATTTTAGAACTGTGTAGATGGAATAAAATTGTATAGAGAACTGAAAAGAATCAAGTGTCTATAGGGACAAAGTAGAACACTTGGTAACTTTCTGAGTGAGTATTGGCAACTTCCAGAGTTATTATTTCAAATATTTCCAAAAGTGTGCCCATGAAATTGGAGAATAGTAAAAAAAAGGTTCAGTGGTCAAGAACTTTGAGAGGGACTACATTAAATAAAGTTGAACAGGTTTCTTTAATAAAGGACTCGCAGGGCTTTACTATGCCAATGTACATTAAGAAGGGGTTGGGTTTGCCCTGACCGGTTTGACTCAGTGGATAGAGCGTCGGCCGGAGGACTGAAGGGTCCCAGGTTCGATTCTGGTCAAGGGCACATCCCCAGTTGGGGGTGTGTGCAGGAGGCAGCTGATAGATGTTTCTCTCTCATCGATGTTTCTAATTCCCCATCCCTCTCCCTTCCTCTCTGTAAAAAAATCAATAAAATATATTTAAAAAAAAGAAAGAAGGGGTTGGGTTTAAATAATGCAAAATCTTTTTCCCACCTGGGATCCTTACAGGAAAAAGATAAGGATCCTCACAGGACCTCAGGTAAGAAAACACAATCTAGGAACCACTGATCTAAAAGATTTGTGATAAGACAGATTATATAAGGAAAGAAGCCAATGAAGAGAGCTCAATATTTCAGTAATTTCTAAGTTATTACCTCTTCTTCTTCCTGTGCTTCTACTGCTGGTCCATTATGTGCCTCCTGGAAAAGGAGTTTCTTCATTTTTCTATATTGCAGATTGTCCAGCTCTCTTACTGCATCCTTTGTCCTTTGAATGAGATCTATTAACACTGTTTCAGGGCGCTCCCGAAGAACAAACATGTGCTGGATAAGAGAAAGTAAAAGTTAAAACCTATGTTGCATATATTTTTTAATTAGTACAAATGTACCCCTCCTAGAATTACTATCCTAAATAATTATGATAGATATTGCATATAATCTATAGCTATTTAATTCTATTATACTTCTGACTTCTTTCATTTACAAAGTTGTCATTTACACATATATACTCTGTGCCTACATAACCACCCCTGCAAATTTTATAAAAACTTTGAACATGATACTTTTGTTGGCCAACTGAAAACGCTGAGTTAAAATAGTCAAAAAGTCTAATTAAACTCTAAGAATTAAGTTCAATTATTAAATTAGAGCCCTAAATAAAGGCTAAATAAAGGTTTACATATTCTAGAACTGCTGATTTCACAGATAAGGCATGTTAGTTCTTAGTTAGGTTTCAACAGGAATGTATTTATTGATGGTGGTTTTATGTCACATGAAACCTTGATATTATTGGCTCCTTTATATGTTCCATAAGCAACACTTCATAAAACACTAGCAGCTGATTAAAAGCCAATATATGAGTGATTTTTCATTTCTTTTTTAAAATGTTTTTATTAATTTCAGAGAGAGGAAGGAAGAGGGAGGGAGAGAAAGAAACATCAATGATGAGAGAGAATCATTGATCAACTGCCTCCTGCACATTCCCTACTGGGGATTGAGCCCCAAATCAGGGCATGGGCCCTCACCGGAATTGAACTGTGAGCTCCTGGCTCATGGGTCACCCCTCAGACACTGAGCCATGCTTATTGGGCATTATTAGTGATTTTTACCATTAACATTTAATAAAGCTTAACCTTATCAAATACAGAAAAATAAAAAGAACAACTCCACCATTAGAAGTACCATTGTTACATTTTGGCATATTTCTTTTCTTCCATTTTTTCAATTACAGTTGATATTCAACATTATATTAGTTTCAAGTGTACAGCATTGGGGTTAGGTATTTTAAAAACTTATGAAGTGATCATCCCAATAAGTCTAGTACCCACCTGGCATCATACACAGTTACTACAATATTACCGATTACGTTCTCTATACTGTATTATATCCCAGTGATGGTGTATTTCTTTTCAGAAATTTTCTATGTATAAATTTTGTTTTGTGAATAGTTAGCATATAGATTGCAGAAAGATTCCTTCTACCCTGAGTTCATGAAATGCCCTTGAATTCTTATAACACTTTTACCTTCTTTGTTAGTTTAAATTTATTTCTTCATTATGCAGAGTTGTTAACTACATATTTTATTCTACTTTTTGTCATAAGTATTATGTTATTTCAACTCATAAACATGTCTACAGAACATTTCATCAAACATTTATGCCAAAATTATTTAAGCATTATCCTAATTCTGGATGGTTATTTCCAATTTTTATTTCTGAGATAAATAGCTTCATACATTAGAAAAACTTTTTTCTATTTTTTCTTTTCTTTATGATGGACTGTGACAGAAATGTAATTAGGCCAAAGAAAAAGAAGCACTTGATAGATACTTTCCAATAAGGCTGTGCCAATACACTCAGAATTCAATAAAGGTAAACGAATACTACTTGTAGGCTTGGGATCTATTCTCCAAATACCAAATACCTGACCCTGGTGGGTTAGGTTTTTGTCAAAAGAGTTTATGCTTAAGGCAAGTGTAAGAAGGCAGTAACATTCTTCCTTTTTCCCGAGCCTTAGTTTCTTGGTATGTACCACTATCTACAATATTAAGTATTCTTCTATTATTATTATTACTACTAGAAGTCCAGTGCACAAAATTCTTGCACTGGTAGGGTCCCTAGAGGCTGCTGGCTGGGGTCTCCCTCCCTTCCCCTGGCCGGCTTACCTGCTGGTCGAACTCCCGGGAGAACTCAGGTAGAGGGGACAATTTGCATACTACACTTTTATTATATAGGATTATTATTACTAGAGGCTCAATGCATGAAATTAGTGCAGGGGTGGGGTCCCTAGCCCTGGCCAGTGATTGAAGCGCGAGCGTCTGACATGGAAGGGCAGGTCCCAGCTAACATCTGGGCCCTGGGCAGCATCTGAATCCCTGGGCCCCTGCTCACTCCCCTCCGCGTGAATCACTGCACCTGAGTCCCCACATGGAGATGTAGTGAGCACGGCCAGAAGCCGCGAGCCAGGGTGCAGCGTGGACCTCTGGGCCACCCAGTGGCACCACATGGAAACTGGGTGGGTAGCATGCTCTCTCCAGACTGGCTCCTGCATGAACCCATGGGGAGCCCGACCAGCCCCTGCGGTCCCAGTGGCTGTTGCCCAGCTCACCCGGAAGAGGCCATGTGGGTGAGGGGCGGGCTCTTCGTGGGCACCCAGCACAAGGGCTTCCCCGGCATGCGAACCCTGGCATCCTGGGAGAGGGTAGTGGGGGGAGTGAGTGAGTTTGGGAGATAGCCCACATTCTCACTACACCTCCGTCCCTGTCACCCCTGCTCCCAGGTAGCCAGCAAGAGGTCACAGCATGTCACCAACACCCGCCATGTTACGTGCCGCCCCCTGGTGGTCAGTGCACATCATAGCGAGTGGTCGAGCTCCTCGATTCCCAGTCAAGCGACCACCCGAGGGGACAATTTGCATATTAGGCTTTTATTATATAGGATTATTATTATTTAATCTTTACCTGAGGACATATGTATTGATTTTAGAGAGAGAGGAAGGGAGAGGGAAACATTAATCAGCTGCCTCCCATACACACCCTGACTGGGGATCAAAACTGCAACCTCAGCATGTGCCCCAACTAGGAATTGAACCTGCAACCCTTCCGGTGCATGGGGCAATGAATACTCCAACCAACTGAGGCGCTGGGGCCAATATTTAGTCTTATTAAAAAATATATATTTTTAAGTTTAATAATTTTCTAGATACAGATCTTGCTTATTTTTCACTAACATAATTCCTCGGTATACTGAACATTTTGTTGCTGCAATGAGTACCTATTTATTCAGGCTTTCATTACTGAAAGTTTATTGCTCTTCAACATACTATGGTTGCAAACAATACTACTGAATATATATTTGAAGATTTTCTTCGTATCTTTAACTGCTGTTCACTGAAAATAAGCTGAACCTCTTTGAAACTCTAAAACATTCATGTAACTAAAGTCTACTTATATCTTGTAGTGAAAATCAACAAGATTCCTTAGGGTCACAAAGAGAGACACAAATACTATTTATTAATAATGTCTTAACTGGATGTCTTAGGAAGTATATTAATTTCAACAATACTACTACTGTTATTAAGAAGATGGTAAGCCTACAAATGAAATAATAATTTTTTGAGAATATAAAGAATACCAATAATGTGTTTAAATTAAGCAACAAATCTATTGAAAACTGAATAGAATTTACATAATTTAAAAAATATTTTCAGCCATGGCTGGTCTGGCTCAGGGGATAGAGCGCCAGCCTGCAGACTCAAGGGTCCCGGGTTCGATTCCGGTCAAGGGCATGTACCTTGGTTGCGGGCACCTTCCCCAATAGGGGGTGTGCAGGAGGCAGCTGATCGATGTTTCTCTCTCACCGATGTTTCTAACTCTCTATCCCTCTCCCTTCCTCCCTGTAAAAAATCAATAAAATATTTTAAAAAAATATTTTCATTAAGTTAGAAAAAGATATTTCCAGAAAGGAAACAAAAATGATGAACATTTTTAAGTTTCTCTTGAAATCTCTCTTCTCTCACAATATTTACATAAATATATCACACCATTTTCTTTCATATTATTTTAATATAGGACCGATCAATATATAAAGTATTATAGATATAATAAAATTATATTAAAATTAAACTGTTTTGCCAAGTAAAATATAACATTATTCCATATAAACTAAAATTTATAATTATAACTCATGAATATATTCTTGCATATATAAAAATGTAGCCATTTTTTACTATTTTGAATATTTGAGTATATATTGTATTCAGCAACAGTAAAACCAGTTAATCAATTTTGGAAAGAAAAAAAACAAATGAAAAACTTAGCATCTGAGAAAACTTACAAACAATATTCTAGTAAAAATGGTAGAGCCTTCTTTTTTTAAAAACATTTATTTTTTTATTATTTTTTAATCCAAGGATATTTTTCCATTGTTTATAGAGAGAGTGGAAGAGAGAGGGAAAGACAGAGAAAAATATCGATGTGAGAGAAACACATTGATTGGTTGCCTCCTGCAGGCGCCCCGACCATGGCCCAGGCTGAGGAGGAGCCTGCAACCACATGCCCTGGACGGGAATCAAACCTGGGACCCTTTGGTCAGTAGGCTGGAGTTCTATCCACTGAGCCAAACTGAGCCAAACTGGCTAGGGCTAGTAGAGCATTCTTAATACTGATTCAGAATCAAAGAAGAATAAAGCACATTTTAAAAAGTAATTTCTTAGGGATAAAAAACCGATTTAAGAGTATAAACTGACCTTTAAAAGTTCCTCTGATGTAGGGCGATCTTGAGGGATTTTCTGGAGGCAAGAATCTACAAAGTTGCGAAAATAATCAGACCTATTGTAAAGGAAAGTATCAAGTGAACATATTGCTATTTTTAAAAACAGATCCACAAATCAAGGTATGTGCCTATTGGTGGGAGGGGGGGATGGAAAAAATTATAAAAGCAAGCAGACACGATACACTATGTATTTCATATAAATCTATGAAAACCATCTAAAGCAGCGGTTCTCAACCTGTGGGTCGCGACCCCTTTGAGGGTCGAACGACCCTTTCACAGGGGTCGCGTAAGACCATCGGAAAACACATATATAATTACATATTGTTTTTGTGATTAATCACTATGCTTTAATTATGTTCAATTTGTAACAATGAAAATACACCCTGCATATCAGATATTTACATTACGGTTCATAGCAGTAGCAAAATTACAGTTATGAAGTAGCAACGAAAATAATTTTATGGTTGGGGGTCACCACAACATGAGGAACTGTATTAAAGGGTCGCGGCATTAGGAAGGTTGAGAACCACTGATCTAAAGCAACCAGTGAACCTTTACCATTTTTCAAAGATAAATTTGCAGATTATTTAAAAATCTTGCTCTCACATAATAACACAACTCGTTCTAAATTAAGGCAAAATTAGGGAAGTCAATTTTTTTCTTCTTTGCATTCAAATCTAAAATGGCATTCCTCTCAATTTGTTTTCTCTCTTCTCTAAGCCATCTCTTCCTTGTTTGCTTCTTGGATTATCTCCTATATAGCATGTTTCAGAACATCACTCTTAGCTTTGGAGGGAGCATTTTGTATACCTATTTGATATCCCTGAACAAATGGATAGAATTTCCATTAAACCCAGAAAACCAATTATGTTATTTTTAAAAACATTAGAAGTCTGCAACATATTATTATAACGTGTTATGAGAAGAGTTCAGTGAGCAAGGCAGTAAGTAATAATTTATCGTTTGTCTTCAAATATCAAATAACATTTTATGTTCCTTGTGCAAGAATTTTTTTGAATCCCCAAAGAATCTAAGTCTGTGTTCAATATATTTATTATTTATATGTACCATAATACTAAACTGTGCCAAAAGATTTCTTCTATATGTCTCTAATTTATGTGCCTTAATTATGTAATCCTTAAAAAATAAAGTATCACTAATTTATGCATCTACTTGTGAATTTTAAAGTATTTATTAAATACACTAGAGGCCTGATGCACAAAAATTGTGCAAGAATAGGCCCTCACAGCCCCAGCTGCCTCGTGGCCTGTCCCCCTGCCCACTGTCGTTCCAGAAGGTTGCTAGGAAGGTCGTTCCGGAAGGTCATTCCGCTGTCTGGTCTAATTAGCATATTACCTCTTTATTATATAGGACTAGAATTTCTCCTATAATTTTTCAAATGCTAGATACACCTGAAGAATTAATTTCCCACTAAAATTTTCTATCACTAATAAAAATTCTAGTTTTTAAAAACTATCAATCTGTTTTACATAAACTTCTTTACATAAATGAACTTCATTTTATCAAATCAAGGAAGCACTAGGAAAAGGAACATCAGAGCATTCTGAATAATAAGTAACATAAAAACTAGAATAATCACAAAGTTATAAATTATCTGATAATTCTGATAAATCAAGTCATTTTATCTATGTTTTTTATACCATATAAATTATAAACCATTCTCCAACAAAATATCACTACAGGTATTGCAATCTACATATTTTAGTTACAAAATATTAATGTTTAAATTGTGTTATTTATTATATAATCAGGGTAATATATATTCCTAAAGTTCAAAGAAAATATAAATTTTTGTAAAAAAGCAATATTTTTTGCTTCCATGTAGCATCACTGAGATGCATATGCTATGAAAAGCAGATATAATAAAGGATAAACAAGATATAGGGGTAAAATAAACCAATTTTATTTTATTTATCTTTATCAAGAGTTTATTTAACTCAGGTTCACTGAGGGAATTAAATAAGCCAATAGCATACAGGATAATGTCTCTTAATAAGCCAATAAAAATAACATACTCCAAAGCAATGATGGATTAATTAGACTACTATTACAGGAATAAGCCTATTTTCATCTCTTCAGATAAAAATACATTTTACCTATTTGAAATGAAATCATTTTGATAACATTATAAGAACGCATTTAATTTATAAAATGTTGAGTAATGTATCTCTTAGCAATACTCACCATTCATTAGACTGTAGTGTAGGGGATTCATTTTGGGCTATGTGATATAAGGCACTCATTGCATTCATATTAAATAAAGGAGGCTTTCTTTCCGCTGTAAGAGAAAAAAAACTTGTTATTGTTCTTGCAAATATTGTTAGTTTTTTAAAAATGATTTCAAACTTGGCAAAAAAATTGCAAGTTGAGTTAAAAAAACACATTCAAGTATATCAATTTAGATTAAATTGCTGAATTGATGCTCTACCATTCCTAAATACTTTAAAACAAGAACACCCTACTAAAGAACAATACCTCCATTAAATTAGGCCATTAATGCTGATACATGACTTTCATCTAATCCTCAAACCCCATTCAAGTTTCAATCAAATGTCAAATAATGTCCCCCTGTATGTAACCAGTCTCTTGTTGCCACTGCCTTTTGTGAGATGTCCCCCTTTCCCTGCTGAAGCTTTGAAACCCCATTCCAAGTCACTCTACAGTGTGAATACCCTCTTCATCCACTCAGGTTCTTTTTCTTTTTATTGATTCTAGAGAGAGAGAAAGCGAGAGGGAGAGGGAGGGAGAGAAACATCGATGTGAGAAACACTGATTGGTTGCCTCCTGCATGCACTCACCCCAACCGGGGATCAAACATACAGCCTGGGTATGTGCCCTGACCTGGAATGGAACCGGCGACCCTTTGGCGCATGGGATGATGATCAAACAATTCAGTCCCACTGGCCAGGGTGATGCACTCAGTTTCTGATATCCCACCCAAACTACAGTGAGGCCCTCCTCATAAGGAAAGCCCTCTTCTTTTTGATGAGGCACTGTGTGTTGAATGGATGTCCTCTTTAGACTCTGATACCATACAATATATTGCTCTCCCTACTATCACCTCCTCAACCTACTTGGACTCTGATAGACCAAACTGAGCCAACTCTAGGTATGAATGCCCACTAGGGTCTGAACCTCCAAACCTGACTGCCACTTGCATGGATACCCTCATTAGGTTCTGTTTTCCCAAACCAGGATATTGGTCTGTGGGAACTCCCTCATGACTCTGATACTCCATTCTAGGCTATCATGGCTCACCAGCTAAATAGTTTAGGAAGGGGACAATTACTGAAGAAATTCTGAATGAATGAAATAACTTGTTTCTATGGTAACTTATTAGAGTAAATTTTTAAATGGTGCAACATTTTTTAAAAAAATGTATATTTTATTGATTTTTTACAGAGAGGAAGGGAGAGGGATAGAGAGTTAGAAACATCGATGAGAGAGAAACATGGATCAGCTGCCTCCCGCACACTCCACACTGAGAATGTGCCCGCAACCCAGGTACATGCCCTTGACCGGAATCGAACCTGGGACCCTTCAATCCGTAGGCCAACGCTCCATCCACTGAGCCAAACTGGTTAGGGCAATGTGTAACATTTTTTAAAAATGTTTTTCTTGATTTTTTAGAGATAGAAACATCAAAGATGAGAGAGAATCATTGATTGGCTGCCTCCTGCATGTCCCCTTAGTGGGGATCGAGCCTGCAACCCAGGCATGTGCCCTGACTGGAATAGAACCCATGACCTCTTGGTTCCTGGGTTGACATTCACACTGGCCAGGCTGGACATTTATTTATTTATTTTTAATATTTTATTGATTTTTTACAGAGAGGAAGGGAGAGAGATAGAGAGTTAGAAACATCAACGAGAGAGAAACATCAATCAGCTGCCTTCTGCACACCCCCAACTGGGGATGTACCCACAACCAAGGTACATGCCCTTGACTGGAATCGAACCTGGGACCTGTCAGATCGCAGGCTGACGCTCTATCCACGGAGCCAAACCGGTTAGGGCTGGACATTCATTTTTATTCAGTTTCTTCTTAAGGTGAAAAAAACCCTTTGCAAATGTCCTCGAGAAATATAGTAGTTTTCTTTTCACCCTTTGCAAGTAAAAAGGGTGGATCATTCCACTACTGACATATTTAAAAAAAAGATACTTTCAAATGGAAGAAACATTTTCTAAACCTCAAAATGAGACCAAAAGATAAGAAGAAAATGACATTATCTAATAGTCTCCAAACCTCAGTTTACTGATGTTTTCAAACTTAAAAATGATATAAAGCCTGAAGGCAATGGTTAATATAGGAATTCCAATACAAGCAAAAATAGTATTTTGGAAAAATATTAGACTGCAAGGTAGAAACAATCTGGTTGTATTGGAAATATTCATCTACTGTGTAATGATAAGCAATCTTTTATTTTTACCTCAATTTCCCTATTACTTGTTTTAGAAAACTACTAACAAACCCAGGTTGATACTGATTTATCAAAATTACACATGGATTTTACTATTAACATCTTCTTTTCAATCCTTGATTACTACTAGAAGTGTTTAAGTAAATATTCCCAGTATTTCCCACTTTTAAATAAAGTTTAATAGAATATTCCTGTAAGAAGAAAAAAAGGAAAGGATATTGGGCTAATGTGGAAGAGGGGGAGGGCGGGTAGCTTGGGGAATCAAGAGCAAGATATTCATCCTCTTTGATTACAGTGACAGTTCAATTGCCTACCTGGTTCACTTACAGTGGGAATGTTAGTAAAGTTAAGATAGTCCACTGCCTTAAGCATAGTTCCATTCATGGGCAACAGAATAAAATGTGTGCACAAAATCAAAATACTACATACAATATGACATACAGCCTGACTTCTAATTATCATACCTAACTTAAAGTCATAAGTATCTTAGGTAGAGGTAAGTAATTCACAAATGCTTTAGAGATCTGCTATACATGGTAAATCTAGTAAATATAGACATATTCCAGGTATTTAACAAATACTCATTAATATTAGACATAGATACTTTGACCCATAGTGAAAATTTTTTTAGACCTAATTTAACAGAGCAAATATAATATACTTAACCTAATACATATAAAAATAACTGGTCACCAAAATGAAAACTTTAATAAATTTATTGCTCCCCTTAGTAACTGACAAAATAAAAAACAAACCTATAATTTGGTACAGAAATTGACGCAAGACATTGATTAAATCTTACTACACAGTAATATTAAAGAATGCTTACCTAGTTCAATACATGTTATTCCAAGAGACCATACATCTACTTTGCCATCATACTGTCCTTCATCCATGGCTAAAATTACTTCTGGGGCCATCCTAAAACATAAAATGTCATTTAAAGTTAAAAAAATTATAATATTCATTAAAATATAATGACTATCTACATGGAGAACACCTGTGTGAATTGCAGATAATATATCTGGACATAAGAATTTTTATAATGGGAAATGAATACATTACAGGTTGTGAGGTAAATAGTTACCATTGCACAGATAGTATAAGACTTATTTTTACTATCTGTCATGATCATATAACAGCATCCTAACGGAAGGATGCCACAGAGGGGGTTGTATTCTGCATCTGTTCAATCTCGCAGATTCTAATATTGTATATCCTTTAGGCCAGTGGTGGCCTCAGGATCCCATTACAAACATCTAACTTTTGCTAGAAAGAGGGAATGAATACCAGCAATTACCTTCCTTGAAGCTACAAGCTCAATCCATTTATTTAAGAAAATATTTGCCATAATAACCAACACTAATTACCATAGTTTGTCAGTCTTTCAAATAAAAATAGTGTTCTGTGATAAAAGCGTGTCTTAGCCCGGCTGGTGTTGCTCAGTGGTTGAGTGTTGACCCACGTAACAGGAGGTCCTCGTTTGATTTGGGGTTGCAGGCTCTATCCTCAGTAGGGAGCATGCAGGAGGCAGCCGATCAATGATTCTCTCATCATTGATGTTTCTCTCTCTCTCCCTCTCCCTTCCTCTCTCTGAAATCAATAAAAAATTTTAAAAAGTGTCTAGGGAGACTCACAATGGAAACAATCAATTATCAACCTTATCGGTATCTTGGTTATAAAATGAAACTTTAATTCCTATCTTCAACTAGAGTCTAACATTTTTTATGGTACTTTAACCTTACACTTCATTTGCATTTGGAGTTAAGCACAGGCAGACACTTAAAAAAGCTCACCGACTTTAATGAGTTTGTCACCAGGAACCCCTGTGTGTGTGCTCATGCAAAAACAGGTAAATATTGCCTAGTTCCTGTGTTCCAAATACGCTACATACAAATTAACAAATATGAAGAAAAACTCAAAAAAACCCAAGCTAACAAAAATGTAAATAAAGTAAATTTTCAATCATCAATAATTGGGTGTTTCCAATATGTTCTTTAAAATGTTGAAGTAAGTAAGTTTAAACAAAATTAAACAAGTAATTTTTTTAAATTGTAGAACTTCATGGGGCTTTTAAAATATCTAATATTCACCATTAATTTCTAAAGAGAACCATTAAGAAATATTATTTGCTCACAGAACCTTTGTTTTATATATGGGAGGGAGACTATCTAAACTAGGGTCCACATAAAAAATTTTTGATCTTCTGGAACAGTGGTCTTCAAAATTTTTTTAAAAATATATTTTATTGTTTTTATACAGAGGAAGGGAGAGGGATAGAGAGTTAAAAACATCGATGAGAGAGAACCATCGATCAGCTGCCTCCTGCACACCCCCTACTGGGGATATGCCCGAAACCAAGGTACATGCCCCTGACTGGAATTGAACCTGGGACCCTTGAGTCCGCAGGCCGACGCTCTATCAACTGAGCAAAAATGGTTAGGGCAGTCTTCAAATTTTGTTTACTCATTTACCTCCAGTGAAATTATAACAACTAGTATCCCCTTGCACATTTGAGTTTATACCTAAATTTTAATAATTTAATATTTGCAAAAGATATAATGCATAGTGTATACACACACAGTATATTGTATATCTGCTTTAAAGATATTTAAAACTTGGAGCTGCAGAATTAGCTCATTCAATTTATCAAAACCACTACCATATAACTTAATTAGCAAAGCCAGTGTTCATGCTATCAATCAGTCAAATCAGAATCATCTGTCAGAAAAAAATCTGACTTCATTTTTCAATACAAATAACATGTTAATGTGTCCCTATGACAACCATCTTGATTATGAATTCTACAATTAGAAAAAAAAGAAGGGAGGAAAGATAACTGGGGAGAAAAAATAAAAAGCAAGGAATAAAGGAATGTGAAGAGAGATAATAAAAAAGGCACCAGGCCTTACTAAGAGTTTGTGTCCTGATTCTTCAATGTTTTTTACAGATTATATTCTGAAATTGTCCCTCTGGTACTGCTTTGAGGCTTTTATATCCCAGGGCAATGCATCATTATAATATTCAGAATGGGCAAGAAGCCTTTCTTTTATAAACTGGGAGTAGGAGATTTGAAAGGTCCATGGGAAAAAAGATGTAGTGGACCTAAGACAACATTCTCTGCATACACAGAGAAATAGGACACATATGGATAGAAGTTGAAAATTATTCCCTTAAACTTGCTGACATTAATACTGAATTATTTATGGTTAAAATTACATATTGTCTAGAATTTGTTTCAAAATAACTGAGGGGTGGAGAAGAAGGGGAGAGGAGTGAAGACATAGGTTGGGAATGGCCATGGGATAATGTTGTTGGGGTGAGTGGTATGTGAGGATTTATTATACTTTTCTTGACTTTAAATTTTTTTATTGTTTGATTGATCTTAGAGAGGAAAACATCAGTTTATTTTTCCATTTACTTATGCATTCATTGGGTGATTCCTGTATGTGCCCTAACTGGGGATAGGACCCATACCCTAGCACATGGGGATGATGCTCTAACCAACTGAGCTACCCGGCCAGGACACGCTTGTTGACTTTTATGTGTATTTTAAATTCTCTATAACATATAAAAAACAACACCCAAAACTCCAAGTTAGCTACCAGTCTTGAGGTATGTTAGTCTGAAGATCACTGATATATAGTAAATATAAACCTAAAGAAAACACAAATTTACACTTACCATTTCTATCTATTCCTCACTTCAATTTTTATTTCAATTTTTTCACTTCCATACCCAACGCATGAGACAGATAATAATACGAAAGAAAATGTGGACCATGAGTAAAAAATAGGAGATGCAAGGGTAGCACTCCAAATCTATATTTGAAACTAACTATAATGCTTAAAGTTAAAATATTCAAAATAGCATTACATTTCCAGGAAAAAGACATCTGAAAAAGGTACAACCACACATTACCTATTTCAATTATGAGGATCAATATCAGATAGGATTAGTCTTACCAATATGGCGTTCCCACAAAAGAATTGGCAGGAGATGCCATGGAAGCAGATCCAAAGTCAGCAAGTTTCACCTGGCCTGGTTCTGTCAGAAGAATATTTCCTGCTTTGATATCTCTGGGTTTAAGGAACACATAAAATTATTTCTTTTTCTTTCATTAGATTATGTTGAAAACAATAAAATTCAAACAAAAATTTGTAAAGTAGGGAAAAAAATAAAAATAAGTTCTAGGATACTCTTTCAATTGGAATAGTAAGAATTAAGATCCAAATTAGAAAACAAAAAAATATAAAATTCATATAAATATATAGAAATAATTTTCTACAAGAAAGGACAGAATAACAGTAAAAACAAAAGGTAGGAAATCAAACAACTGGAGCATATAATCTATATTTGAGTTCCTATTTACTTGTGCAAATAATGGTTTTAAAAGTAGAATTTAATTAGCTGGCCATTTCTTCATAAATATAAGATTTCTGAGTACCCCACTTAATGTAAAATAAAGAACCTCATGCCCAATTTTTTATTATTTAACTTAAAAAATTTTTAAATTTAAGTATAGTAATATATAATCTTATATTTGTTTATTAGTTTCAGGTGTACAATATAGTGATTTGACATTTTTATACCTTACAATGTGATCACCTGGCTAACTGTAGTAATCATCTGTCACTGTGCAAACGTCTCACAATGTTATTGATTATAGTCCTTTTCCCCTTTTCAGCCATCCTCCCACCCATTCCCTTCTGGTAATCATCCCAATGATCAGTTTCTGTTTTGTTTTGTTTTAGATTCCACATATAAGTGAAACTATACAGTATTTCTTTCTCTGCTTAACTTATTTCACTGAGCATAGTACCCTCTAGACCAGAGGTAGGGAACCTTTTTTCTGCCAAGGGCCATTTGGATATTTATAACATCATTCAAGGGCCATACAAAATTATCAACTTAAAAATTAGCCTGCTATATTTGGTCAAACATTTAATTAATTGACCCCTAATGCCTTGGCAGGGCCAGACCAAATGATTTCGTGGACCTTATATAGCCAACGGGCCAGACAGTCCCCACCCCTGCTTTAGATTTATCCATGTTGTTGCAAATATGCCCCCAATTTCCACAAAGGGAATATTCATATCATTTACAAGGCTTAGCATAATCCATCTAACTTAATATGAAATGAAAACTGATGTATAAGGAAAATATACTATGAATGGTTTCAAATTTACTTTCAAGCTTACTTTTCTAAATCAGTAAAAATACTCTCCACACAAACTAAGAAAATGATGGATATTTATATAATAGAATTTTATGTCCAATGGGTGCCATAATATAACTTAACCATTCAAGAAAAGAAAAACTTTATTTCCAAGTACTTGTCAATTCTTACTATATTATTATGATGGATATAATACTAAATCTATTGTCCTTACACTTGTTTTTTAAAAATGGAGAGGTGCCCGTCTGCGGTGGCTCAATGGTTGAGCGTCAACCTATGAACCGGGAGGTTACAGTTTGATTCCCTATCAGGGGACATGCCTAGGTTGCAGGGTCGAACCCCAGTCTGGGGTGTGCAGGAGGCAGCCAATCAACGACTCTCTCTCTTTCTATTTCTCTCTCCCTCTCCCTTCTTCTCTGAAATCAACAAACATATATTAAAAAATTAAAAAGGAGAGGTGCTTTGAAGTTGAGAAGACCTTAGGTTCTAATTTTATCTCTTTCGTATACTTACTAGCATGTGGGTTTCTCTTACTATTTTCATCTAAAAAATTGACAACCCATTAACTCACAATGACTCTACTACATAGTTTAATATGTATTGCCTGATTCACATACAAAATTAAAAAATGTTAATTTCCTTCTAAACCAGGCAAAAGCAATACCAATGCTAAAAAATGCATTATAAAGTGGTTTAAAGTTACTATCCATCACCATGGATTACCACGGATTAATACTCAAAAGCATAAAGAGTCTTAAGTAGCCTTTTATTTGATTATTTATTTTTGTTTATCCTCACCCAAAGATATTTTTCCATTGATTTTTTTAGAGAGAGTGGAAGAGAGAGGGAAACAGAAATATCGATGTGAGAGAAACATATCGATTGATTGCCTCCTGCACATGTACTGACCAGGGTCCTTGCCGGGGGGGAGCCTGCAATCAAAGTACGTGCTCTTGACAGGAATGGAACCCAGAACCCTTTGGTCCGCAGGCCGATGCTCTATCCATTGAGCTAAACCAGCTAGGGCTTAAGTAGCTTTAAAAATATATATATACTTTTATTGATTTCAGAGAGGAAGGGAGAAATAGAAACATCAATGATGGCAGAGAATAATTGATTGGCTGCCTCCTGCATGCCCCTACTGGGGATCCAGCCTGCAACCTGGGCATGTGCCCCGATCAGAAATCGAACTGTGACCTCCTGGTTCATAGATTCCCATTCAACAACTGAACTATACTGGCCAGGCTTAAATAACTTTTATATATCCCTGTTACAGAATCAATGGAACAAATCTGGCATTATCAGTTAGCAGGAAGAAAAAGATCTAGGTTTAATTCTAGTTTAATCTACCTAAGCTTTTTAAACTTGGAGAAATTAGAAACAAATTGGGGCATCAGTTTTTTCATTTGTAAAATGAAAAAAGACTACATAATCCCTAATGGCCTTTTCCATTTTGCAAATTAAATAATTCTGTAATTAAATTGCTACCTCAAATCTATCAAGTACACATGCTTCAGAAAGCCCAGCAGCATGTGCAGAAAAGATAAAATTATCCTAAACAAAGAGATCAAGTGTACTAGTATGTTCTTTTTAAGGCAATCTAAAAAATATGAGTTTATAAGATTTTGAAATTTTTTAACCAATGAAAATTTCAGAGGTAATGAGTTCCAGGTTGATATAAGCAACAAACCATTTGCTTATTAATACATGACAATTTTCAGTGTACTTACCTATGGATCATAGTATGTGAATGCAAGTAGGCTAATCCCTGGAGAGCACCATGTGTAATTGCTGCTATTTCCACTTCTTGTAATGGCTTTTTGTGAACTTAAAGTAAGAATTTAAGAATAATTATTATATAGAACATTTTTTAAATAATAAATATACATATCTGATATAGAGAGAGCAATTTTAAAACACTAACAACATTTAGCAACAAGGGATTTGCTTCCCAAGATATACTAGTAATACAAAGCTACTGAATGTTATAACTAGTACCAATTGTGCCTTGCTGTTAAAGTAGAGGTTACAGCCAATATTCTTCAAAGCTAACAACATTTAACAATTATTTGGTGATAATAAAAACAAAAGTAACAAAAGAGAAGTTTTCCCTTTATTCTCAGGTATTTTCATTCAGAACAGAAGGAACAGATCAAGCTGAATGACAAAGAAGGCAGAAAAATGCTCATTAAGACAAAATGAGAGAAAATTCACTGATGTTATACTATACTAGAGGCCGGATGCACGAAATTCTTGCAAGAGTAGGCCTTCCTTCCCCCGGCTGCCAGCACCAGCTTCCCTCTGGCACCCAGGACCCAGGTTTCCCTTGTAGCCTGGGCTTCGTCTGAAAGGACGCCCGGAAGGACGTCCAGTCTAATTAGCATATTACGCTTTTATTATTATAGATAACATTAAATGAGGATGGTATATACCATGCTGAGATTCTAGAAAAGGTTAAGGCTTTCACTGTTTTGAAAAGTTTTATGTTATTTAAGAAGTCTCTTACTGAATTCTTATTTTATTTTGCTAATGCTTTTTTTTTCTTAATATTTAAAGGAAACCTACCTTCCAGTAAATCTGAAGCAGATCCTAAACAATATTCCATTACAAGCTATATGGGAAGAAAAATTATAAAAGCATTAAAATATATTATTAAAAAGACTATTTGAGATAAATTCACCAAGGCGATCAAGAAGATAGTTTGAAATAAAACAAACTCTAGTTATTTACCTTAAAAAAATATTTATGCAGTTAGCAATTTGTTAAATGCATTCATAAGGTTAAGTCAATGACAAGATGTGTATTTCATACATAATTACTAACTAAAATTATAAAAGAATATACATATTCTGTTACTATTAACCTAGAGTAGTAATAATGATTGTTAGGAAACAGAAAACTGTCCTCTGGGACTATATGTACAAAGCTTAGGTTACAGTTTATTTTTAAACTTTTTAAGAATGTATGTTTTTAGTGATTTTCCAGAAGAAGGGAGATATAGAAACATCAATGAAGAAAGAAAATCACTGATCGGCAGGCCTCCTGCACACCTTCCAATGGGTATTGAGCCCACATCCCGGACATGTGCTCTGACTGGGAATCGAATCAATAACCTACTGTTTGATGGGTCAGTGCTCAACTATTGAGCCACACCGGCCAGATTTAGGTTACAGTTTAAATTTTTCATTTAAATCAAACACAGAGCACCTCCTAATGTGCCAGGTATTTTATACATATTAATTAATTTAATCCTCACAACCACTTTATGAGGTAGGCCTTATTATTTCCATGTTTTACAGATGGGAAAACTTGAGAGACAGAGAAGTAACCAGCCCAATGTACTTTTTCTTTAACAACAGCCTCAAGTTTAGGAGTACTACCACAGCCACCACCAAAATCAAACTGGATAAAAATGCAGCAAACAGTCCTGGCTGGTTTGGCTCAGTGGATAGAGCATCAGCCTGTGGATTGAAAGGTCCTGGCTTCGATTCCGGTCAAGGACACATGCCCAGGTGACGGGCTCGATCCCCAGTGAGGGGCATGCAGGAGGCATCCGATCAATGATTCTCATCATTGATGTTCCTATCTCTCTTTCCCTCTCCCTTCCTCTCTGAAATCACTAAAATTATATTTTAAAAAAATGCAGCAAACATTACAAATCTAAATCTAACTTCAATCCACTAGAATGATAACAGCTCTCTGGCTTATTAATTATTCAAAATAAAGGATCATTCCTGTTTAATGAAAATTTAGCCCTTTTCTTAAAAGATAGTTATTATGTCTATACCATTATGGGATTACTACATTATCACCTCAGTGGTAACAACAGGGTAAAATTAATCTCTACTTCATGTAATAATTCTCTACCTTTAGTATTACTCAGCCAAGTAATCACAATTAATTCAAATTTCACCAGGATTCACCAAGACTTCACCAAAAACTTTGTGGTTAAATAGATTATAATACATAATGTCAAAAAGATATAAATTTCATCCTTTAGTAATAGAATTGTTTTTACAATGTTTGAGAAACCATTTAGTAGTTTGATAAACTACTAAAAATTTCAGAGAACATTTTACCATGCATATAAAGGCCAGCTAAATCCCTATAGTAAACTTGCAAAAGTTTTTATTGCTTAGGGAAAGGAGTTCTAGGAAAAGCTACTCTTCCTTTCTCGGTATGAAATAACATTTCAAGGTGTTTTTGAAGCTTCACAGGACAATTTTGAGACATTCTTTTATTTTTTGGTTAATCCTCACCCAAAGATATGTTTTTCCATTGATTTTTAGAGAGAATAGAAGGGCGAGAGGGAAGGAGTTTGGGAAAGAAACACTGAGAGATGAGAGACAGATCAATTGGTTGCCTCCTGCACATGCCCCGACCAGGACAGGGAATGCAACCCAGGTAAGTGCCGCCCTTGACCAGTAATGGAATCCAAGACCCTTAGGTATTCGGGCTGAGTGAGGCTCTAGTCTAGCCACTAAAAACACACCAGCCAGGGTGAGACATTCTTAATTTAATTAATTATATGCCCAAACCAACTAAAATTAAGGCCAGGGGAGAGCAGATACCTACCCATGCTGTGTGCTCACGTAAATAGCAGCCTTTATATTCTATACTGTTGGGATGTTTTATTCTTTGTAGAAACTTGACTTCTTTAATAATATCCTGCCATTTCTATGGGGAGAAAAAAGGGAATAAAGGAAAGAATTATGAACAGCTGCTTTTCCTTAGAAATGTATGTAAGAAAGAAGTAATTACTAGATTAAGGCTTAATGAGAGCATACAGCTTTGCCTTATTTGTAATATTTAAATTAAATGTCAAAATAATCAATTTAAGAGGAATTACATTCATAGTTTATAATCAATTACATAATTTATAAAATTATTCCATTCAAGGTAGGACAAATGTTTGATAAAATTTATCATAAATAAGCCTTATCAATATTTTACAACTACACACCACACATTGGTGAAAACAATGTACCATATTTTGTGATTTTTCATCAAAATTCAACTTCCCTTTTCTTATCTGAAGCTTTACTGACATAATCTACATACCATGAAGTTCATCTATCATGTTTCTGGCTTAGATCTTCTACCAAATGTTAAGGTTTTGTTTGTTTTTTAAACTCAAATGAAGTCATTACTCTGAGACAAATTCATAAATGCACATTACTTTCTAAAATGCTAGTGGAACAATTAGTTGTTACATAGAAAAGTTCACAGAAAAAAACAAATAGTATGAAAACATTTTCCTACATATTTTACTAAGAGCTTTCTTCATTAACACCTATCCAGCAATACAGATAAACCACTGGCCAGAACAATATACTTAGGCCATATTCTAAACAAAGTAACTCTTAAGAAGCAATCAGGGAACTCTAAGGACCCAACCAGGTTCTTTGGTCCACAGACTTAGTAGGTATAAGATGGAAAGCAGGAATCTATTTTTTGTTCTTGTTTTAGTTTTTTAAAGCTTTACCCCCAACTTGGGTCATATTTCTAAAATCAGAGAAACTAGCATAATAGAAAACTTTAAAAAATATTTTGTACTAGAATTTAAGATCACATATCTCCTATGTTATTTAAGTCCTCAACAAAATACAGCAAAATAGCTGCATAATATTTTAAGATATAAGATTCAAAATTCAGAGTTTAATGGGCTTTAATTCTCAAATTTGAATGCTCTGGGAGGCAAGCTCTCAAAACAAAACACTTGTATTCGTCAATGTAAAAAACCCCCACAAACTTTTATAAAGGACACTAATATCAGACGTAAAAAAATGATGTCCTAAATGAAACTTTTTCTTCTAGGTGTGCCTAGTCAGATGCCAACATAGCACACGTCTTCCTGTGAAAGCTAGTTCTAAAGTTGTGTGAGAGAATGGTGAATAAAATTAGAGTAAACTTGTAAGAAATGGAAAGTGGGGATTTTTTTGGAGTTTTAGGAATTTTTAGGAATTGAAATGATGGAACACCAATATAATCATGATAGTGTCATTGTACCCAGAGTATGATCACAAAAACAAGATTTAGCATAAAATGAAGAGATTCAGAAAAGGTAAAAAACCAAAATCATTAAAAATTAAAGACTGATTCAGAAATTCTACCTCTGAGCACATACCCAAAAGTATTGAAAAGCAGGAACTCAGAGAAATATTTGCATACCCATGTTCATAGCAGCATCATTCACAATAACCAAGGGATAAAGGAAGCCAAGTGTCCATCAACAGAAGAATGGGTAAACAAAATGTGGTGTTTTATCTACATACACACACACACCACAGGAATTATTATTTAGCTTTAAACAGGGAGGAAATTCTGACATATACTACAACATGGATAAGCTTTGAGGGCATTATGTTAAGTAAAAAGGACATGATTCACTTATATGAGTTAACCTAAACTAGTCAAATTCATATAGATACTAGAATGGTGATTTCTAAGTACTGGAGGAGGGGGGAAAAGGAGTTGCTATTAGAGCTTCAATTTTGCAAGAGGAAATGAAAAGATTTCTGGAGATAAATGGTGGTGGTGTTTAGACAGCAATATGAATATCCTTAATGCCACTTAACACTTAAGAATGGCTTACTGGTAAATTTTGTGTATTTTGCCATAATTTAAAAAATTTTTAAATTAAAGACTGACACGATCTACATTTTATAAAATAAATTTAGGCAATTAAATAGAATAAATATAATGTCAAAAGAACTAATCAGAATATTAGTGAACTAACATATACTCAACGTGGTATCAATTTTATATTATAGTTTTTCAGATTATTACACACCACCTGTTTTTCAGACTACAGCTATACTGTCTGTTACTTAAAGTTTGTTTAAAGCTGAAGTTAATCTCTAAACCATTAAAAAATTATATCCAATATATTTACTGTGAAATATATCTTATTCTAGTTTACTATTTTAGAAACTGATAATCCCTCTATGAAAAAAATAGAATAATATATTAAGTAACAGTTTAAAAAACTGAAAGCAGGGGGCACAAGTTGGGAGGCTTTTGGGATGCCAGTAATGCTATTTATAGTTCTAGGTCCAAGTTAAATGGGTACATTCAGTGTCTGAAAGAAAACTCACTGAGATATACACTTAATATCTGTACACTTTTCTTTATGTATGTTATACTTTTTGGAAGAAATTGCCACCTACCCTCAATTAAAAATAGTATGCCTTTCTGTAACATACCAGTAAAAATGTATATATTTCACCACCTACCTCAGTAGACTGCTTTCCACTATAAGACATTTTTTTGATAGCCACCACTTCATTGGTACGCACATCTCGTGCCTAAGGAAACAAAGAAGAACCACTGTACATTAACAGATTGAATCTGAGCAATCATTTTTCTCAGAATAAAAGCATTTATAAACTATCATGTCAAAAAAAAAACATAAACATTGTTTTTTAAAGAACATTAAAAATAGTAACTCTGTAACAAAAATGTATCAAATTAGCTGATACTTTAGAAAAAAAAACAGGTTTATCTTTGAGTAATCTAGTTAAGAGGAAAAATATAAAAATGTGAATAGAACTATAAACAAAGAGACAAAACAAGACTAGTATATACAAGTCTATGCTAATAAATTTTGAAATCTCAATGAAATGGACAATTTTCTAGTTAAGAATAAATTACCAAAACTGATCTAAAGAAAATGTAAGCAAAACAAACAATAGTGGCAGACTGTAAAGAATACTAATGAATTATAGTTAAAATAGTTTTGAGTGGAAAACAGTTTTACCAGGGAAACTTTCCAGGACATAAGGGGGGAAGAAAGGAGAGAGGAAAGCTATGCTATTAATTTTATGAAGCCAGTATAATCCAATAACTAAAACTTAACAGCACAAAATAGAAAGTTGGGTACCAATTTCATTTTTAAATATAGACAAAAAAATTCTAAATAAAACTTTAAAGCCAAATATTACAGGACATTAAAAGAAACTTTCATTTGGATAAAATCCTATATAATAAAACCCTAATATGCAAACTGACCAGACAGCCGGTGGAACAACCAGTCGCTACGACGCACACTGACCAACAGGGGGCAGATGCTCAGTGCATGAGCTGCCCCTGGTGGTCAGTGTGCTCCCACAGGGGGAGCGCCTCTTAGCCAGAAGCTAGGCTCATGGTTGGCGAGCGCAGCAGTGGTGGCAGGAGCCTCTCCCACCTCCGCTGCAGGCGGGCGGTAAGGAGCGAGGGGTCCCAGACTATGAGAGGGATGTCTGACTGCCGGTTTAGGCCCAATCCCCGCTATAAAAATTACATTTCTTTGATTATAGTATACTAGAGGCCCAGTGAACGAATTTTGTGCACTCGGGGAGGGGGGGAGGGGTCCCCCTCAGCCTAGCCTGCACCCTCTCGCAGTCCAGGAGTCCTTGGGGGATGTCTGACTGATGGCTTAGGCCCATTCCCCATGGAGAACGGGCCTAAGCTGGCAGTCGGACATCCTTAGCACTGCTGCAGAGGCAGGAGAGGTTCCCGCCACCGCTGCTGTGCTCACCAGCCGTGAGCCCGGCTCAGGGCTTCTGGCTGAGCAGCGCTCCCCCTGTGGGAGTGCACTGACCACCAATGGGCAGCTCCTGCATTGAGCGTATTCCCCCTGGTGGTCAGTGCACGCAATAGCGACCGGTCGTTCCACTGTTCGGCTGATTTGCATATTAGCCTTTTATTATATAGGATACCTAAATAGAGTTGATTAAAAAAAAAAAGACACTCTGTTAAGTGGATCCTGGGAACAACTACCAACAGTACAATTTCAATGACAAGTGGAGTGGTTAACACGTTAAGTACCCTGTCAGTCACCGGTGACTGACACTATATTTTCCGTCCGGAAGACAAAACAGGTTGGGCGCTTAATGTGTTAATGGAAACTTGCACCACTTATAATAAAGGGTGAAGTGGATCTATCCATCTAAGTCCTGCTTGAATATGAATTTATTTTTCCAAAATGTTCTCTGGTTATCTATCTGTAAGACACTTCATTTTTTTAAGAAAGTTCTTTATTAATCATCTCATATAAAATTTGCACAATCACTACAGATAAAGTCCCTAAATCAGGGGTTCTCAACCTGTGGGTCGCAACCCCTTTGGGGGTCGAACGACCCTTTCACAGGGATCGCCTATGACCATCGGAAAACACAACAATTCCTCAACCTTTCTTTGTCTCTCATTACACTGGCAGAATATACTGTGGTATTTTATAGAATGCTACTAAATTTGTGCTTCTCTTACTTTTCTTTAAGATTAGATTCTGATTTTTCATCCCCAACCAAAATACTACAAAAGTGATAGTATATCCTCTTCAGGGTATCACAGCTGGAGGTATACAAGGTCTGTCTGTTCTCACTGGTGTTACTAATTTTCATCACCACTCAAGGTGTTTTCTGGGTGTTTTTTCCCCAATGTACATAGTTATAGTTACTGCTCCTACCTTGTATCTAAGAAGCCATCTGTGGAAAGATACTTTTCAATGTAAATGTCCTGCTCATCAAACTTTCCCCCTAACCTTGGCAACCAATGAAGAATCGAGCCCAAAACAATCTTCACTATGATGATTACAAAATGGTATTTGCCAACTCTGCCATTCCCTTCACATTTATTAGTCAGCATTCTGCTATAAGGAAAAAGCCCCCTTTTCATCCATCCATCCCTCATCTATCATGGAAATCATGAATTCCTTTTTTATTTGATGGGTTATAATCCATTACTATCTTTAGATTGATGCTCAGACTGTTCCAGATTTGGACAGTGAGAGGAGCCCCTTCAAACTGGGTCCAGTATCCATTTGACAGACCCCTTCTTTTTTTTTTTTTTTAAGTACTTTTTAAACTTACTGTCACAAGATGTCCTAAGGCTTATCTTTTATGTTCCCTGCCCCCACAAGAGAATAAGCCATTCCTCCAAGGAGCTCTTGTTCCTTTCAGTGAGAAATTCAAGACCTGAGTGCTAAGTTGGGTGTCACTGTAACTACAATCTTGCAGCAGATAGAGTTAATTAATTAGTTATTAGTTCCTCTAATTCTTATCCAATCCCATAGAGTTCTTTCTTACCTTCCCTGATTCCATATTTCTATCAGTGGATTTAGGCTATAACAATTATTTCCCTTAGTCCTGCTACATTTAAGAAAAGGCATTCCTATTATTATTTTTTTAAATATATTTTTGTTGATTTCAGAGAGAGGGAAGGGGAGATAAGGATAGAAACATAAATGATGAGAGAGAAAGAATCATTGATTGGCTGCCTCCTGCACATCCTACACTAGGGGATTGAGCCCGCAATCCTGGCATGTGCCCTGACTAAGAATTGAACCGTGATCTCTTGGTTCATAGGTTGATGCTCAAACACTGAGTCACGCCAACTCAAGGTGTTTTCTGGGTGTTTTTTTCCCCCAATGTACATAGTTATAGTTACTGCTCCTACCTTGTATCTAAGAAGCCATCTGCGGAAAGATACTTTTAAATGTAAATATCCTCTATTCTTTTTCTTTTTTTTTTATTGCTTAAAGTATTACAAAGGGTATTACATATGTGTCCATTTTATCCCCCCGCCCTAGACAGTCCCCCAGCCTCCCCTATCCCCCAGTCCTCTATTCTTGTTATATATGTATATTTGTGTGTGTGTGTGTGTGTGTGTGTGTGTGTGTGAGAGAGAGAGAGAGAGAGAGAGAGATAGAGAGAGAGAGAGAGATAGAGAGAGAGAGAGATATTCCTACTGATACTTCCAATTCCAATCCAACACCACAGGGTTATTTCCAGCCTTCCCACTTTCCTTATTTACAAATAAGGAATTTGCTTCTTTCTTAGGCAGTAAGAAAATGGATTCTCACTATCTACAATACATTTATATATTTATTCAAATCATATATATATCATCTACACTAATAAAAGAGAAACATGGTAATTGGCGTACGACTGATACCCTTCCCATTGGCTAATCCCCCTGTCACTCACAGAGTAGGGCCGAGATATGCAAATTAACTGGCAGCCAAGATGGCGGCCAGCAGCCAGGCAGCTGATGCGAACAGGGAGGCTTGCTTGCTTCAGTGACGGAGGACTCCAACGTTCCCTGCCTGACTTGCTGGCCTCTCAGCTGCAACTCTAAGCAACTATGTTGCGAATATAGAAGCTAAAAAAACCCCAGAAACCTGCTTTACTCAGCGGGGCTTAAGCCAGCCGGACCGCAACATTGTATCAAATACAGACGGTAAACAAAGGCCAGAAACCTGTTTTCAGCAGCCGAGGCCTCAGAGCTAAAGCGGGCCCAGAATAAAAAAAAGAAAAAAGAAAAAAAGGAGCGGTTGGGAGCTTCAGTCCCACCCTGAAAACAGCCCTCAGCCCCTCAGCCAGACTGGCCAGGCACCCCAGTGGGGACCCCCACCCTGAAGGGTGTGTGACCAGCTGCAAACAGCCATCATCCCCTCACCCAGACTGGCCAGGCACCCCAGTGGGGACCCCCACCCTGAAGGGTGTGTGACCAGCTGCAAACAGCCATCATCCCCTCATCCAGGCTGGCCAGGCACCCCAGTGGGGATCCCCACCCTGATCCAGGACACCCTTCAGGGAAAACCAGCCAGCCCCACCCATGCACCAGGCCTCTATTCTATATAGTAAAAGGGTAATATGCCTCCCGGCACCGGGATCAGCGTGACAGGGGGCAGCGCCCAAACCCCCTGATCGCCCTGCAGCTGTGTGTGTGACAGGGGGCGGGGCCCCAACCCCCCGCCCCCCACAGGCCCTGCTCTGTGTGTGACAGGGTAGAGCCATAACCTCCCCATTGGCCCTGCCCTGAGTATGAGAGTGGCGGCGCCCCAACCCCCTGATCACCCTGCAGCTGTGTGTGTGACAGGGGGCGGGGCCCCAACCCCCCCCCCCCCCCACGGGCCCTGCTCTGTGTGTGACGGGGTAGAGCCATAACCTCCCCATTGGCCCTGCCCTGAGTGTGACAGTGGCGGCGCCCCAACCACCTGATCGGCCCTGCTCTGTGGGTGATAGAGGGCGGCGCCCCAACCCCCTAATCACCCTGCGGCTCTGTGAGTGACGGGGGGAGCTCCTCAACCCCCTGATCGGCCCTGCTCTGTGCATGACAGGGGGTGGCGCCGCAACCACCCCATCGACCCTGCCTTGAGTGTGACAGGGGGCGGTGCCCCAACCCCCCAATCGGCCCTACCCTGAGCGTGACTGAGGGTGGCATCGCAACCTCCCAATCCGCCCTGCTCTGTGCATGACAGGGGAAGGCGCCCCAGCTCCCCAATCAGCCCTGCTCTGAGCCCGACCAGGGGCTGCACCTAGGG